CACAGCTGCTGAGGACACCTGTGGCTGTGAGGATTAGGGGGCTTTGAGGTTTGGGGGGAAAGCTACCCCTTTCTACTCATTCCTGGGACCATGATCCATGCCTGTCCGTCGACTTCCAAATGTTGGTTGGGCTAAAGGCAGCTCAGTAACCTGGGTAGATGGGTTTTGCTGTTTTTTCACCAGTGTGTGTGTGTGCATTTCCACTGAAGAGTGGCAGTGATGCTTCTGGCTTGACATGCCACAGGACAACAAAGGGTGTGCCTCTGTCTGTCCAACTGTTGTTGAGCTGGAGGCTAAAAATAATCCCTTATTTTTCACCTCCAGAACAACTGAAAGGCAGAAATGAGGAAATCTTGAATTCCTGGAATGACTGAAGCTTCTGTCTTCATCCCAAGGACAGGGAGCAGATCATCATTTAACACCCCTTTATTTTCCAAGATTAATTTAATATTTTGGTAGCTTGGGCAGGAGAGGAGTGAGGGCTTTAGAGTGGAATGACAATAGTGAGATAATGCAGTGGGCTGCAACAGGATTTGTCTTCTCTTAGCTATGCCAAGGGATGCTGTTTGTTGCATCCCTCACCCCCATGCTGCAACCAGCTGGTAGATTCCCTGAGCATGTAAATGCTGAGAGCTAATGTTTTTTTTTACTTTTTTCAAGGTCAATTCAAGCCTTTCAGTTATAGTGGATGAGATTTTTATGGGACTAGATTGTTGTGGAGTGTTATTTTGAGGTACGTTTTTGGTTTTTTTGGTTTTGTTTTTGTTTTTTTTTTTTGTAGTTTTTGTTGGTGTTGTGGGGATTTTTTGTTTGTTGGTTTGAGTTTTTTTGTTTTGTTTGTTTGAGTTTTTTTCAATAAATACAGTGATGGTGTTCAGCTGTTAAACCACATATGATTTTTCCAAAATGGGATGCAGGTGCCTGGATTCCCAGGCTGCTGATTTAGTAGTGGGGGAAAGGAGGGATTGCAAGAGGCCTCTACATTGCATCCCTTTCCCTTTCCTCCCCTCCTATTTTTAGTCATATATTTGTACATTATATGCAGGAGATCATATCAAAATCCCGTGCCTGGCACAGAAGCTATTCTGCTACTATAGAGGTGGCTTGTGCTGCCATTTAACTTGGCACTGGGAATATTTCCTGGAGATTTTCAAGGCACTGCCATTCCTAAACATACTCAGAGAAAGTAGCATCTCTTACAGTCAGACTGACCCTTGAGTGGAATCAAGCCTATAAAACTTACCAAATGCTGTGTGTATTTATATTAGTAAATATAAGTGAAAATTTCTGATACAGTTAAATTGTACAAGGAAGAAATCAGTGAAGTTCTGTTCTATTTCCATCTGAAGATAAGTAATATATTGTGTACTGTGCTTGGTTGTAGTGTGGGACAAGATTTATACAGAAACAACAGTCTTAGGGAACAGGACAATACTTTTTAACGGTATCATAGAAATAGACTATTTACTCAGCAATGTGAATAAAAAACTTCTATAAAATATGCATGGGCTTATTAATGTTTTGTCGTGAAGTGCAAAAATATCCACGCTTTACTTATTAAGTATGAATTTAAACTGAAATAGTCCCAAGTTAGTCACTAGGTAACTATTACTGGCCTGGAAACTTGCATTAGTCTATTTAAATGGGAATTTTGTAACTTAAATTCTTTCTGTTATTTTTTTTCTTGTTAAATCCAATGAAGCTCCTCTTTTGACAGAAAATATTCACATACATCTGCAGGCAGAAGTTCAGCTATTTGTACTAAGAGGTTTTCACCAGGAAAAATGTCTTCTCTCGGAATTATTATCTTGCACTAACATGGTATACTCTCAGTAGTAACACAAGATGTAAAATCCAACATGATCCTGATTCTTCAGGCAGGTCATAGAAGTCTGGTCATGGTCTTATTCTTTCAGCTGTAAAACTAAACAAGACTTTCTCCCTTCATTTCCAGCTTGAGCAAGAAATATGCAAAAGCTCTTTGTCTGTGCCTTTCAGCAAGGGTTACTTGGAATAATTTGTAGGAGATGCTTTGCAAAGTCAAGTTGCCCTTTAGCTTTGTAAGGGATGATCTGGCACTGTGGAAAGGCAGTAGATGTGTGAATGGTGATGGGGATGTCAAGAAGCCCTTGGCATTTGTTCATTCAGGATTGATTGTTTGAGACTCCCTTATGTGATGCCAGCTGTCATGATCTGTGTTATATTGCAAGAAATTAGTTTCAAAAGCAGTTCCCTGATGAGCCAGGAGACTGGAATAACAGGAGGGGAAAATAGGATGCCATTCAAAGTTTGTTCTAGTCTGGCTGCCAGAAGGTTTCTTCTGGGACTCTGTTGGCAAGCAGACCACCGGGGAGTGGCACGGGCTCTTCCCTTATTTAATAAAGATAGGAACACAAACATAGTAAGAATTACTTTTGCTAGGATTTTATGCTGGTTTTGACCCCAGAAGTTTCAAAATTAGATGAAGAAATGCCAAGAGTAAGTTCTACACCAGCAGGAAGCGTCCTCAATAAATCATAGGACGAATAGCTCTGTGATAGAGATAAATGTGTTTCTGGAGGTAACCATGGGTGGCGGCAAACACACAGCCATTTTTCATGGTGTATATATGAAGATACTTTGTCAATGTGATAGGAGGAGAGGAGAGGGCAGAATCCTCCTTAAAATGCTAACATAGTGTGTTGCAAATCACCAGGAGGAACGAAGGGTTTTCTGTGTGGGTTTTGTTACTTGGCAGGATCTGCTGTGACTAAATCGCCAAAGACTGCTATTTCTTTTTATTTTTTATTTTATTTAAAGTTGCATTTATTTATGTATAATGCAGCTTGTAAATGAAAAAAAACAGCCTCACCTTATCAGACCATGTAAGGGCTTTATTTGTAAAATGTTTCTAACTGCATGCTCAATATGACTGGAAGCTGTGAAGGCTCAATTGAGTCACTCACTTGTCTGAGCTCAGAGTTCCCATGTTAATCACAAGAAGCATGTGCAAAAAGTCTGACCCAGATCCACCAGTGATCCTCTTCAGCTGGGCTACATGTGCCTTCTATTTTCTTCCTTTATATTGTTACATCTGTTGATTTTTTAAAAAATATTCATCATTCAGTGAGGAGTGTTCTTCTGAAATTGTGAATTAAATATGTTCTTTTAAGAGGAACAAAGCCAAGTGGCTAAGGCAACAGCCTAACTTTAAAATCTCTGGTTAACAAAACACTTGCCTAAAGCGAAGCCAAAGCACCTGACAGGAATTTTTCTTTCAATGGGAAATTATTAGAATTATTTATTAAATTGAAAAAAGACATTTTTGCACTTCTATGAATTGGGTTGGACAAAAGCCAGCACCAGATACTTTTTGCTCAAGTCGTTAGATCTGAAAACAAATGATGACCAAACCAAAATAAATAAATGACTTTACTTTCCGAAATTGCAATGTAATGGGAACCAGACTGGAATCCAGCGAGCCTGCAGATAGAGCCCATGCTTGCTTTGAAACTGCAGTCAGTGTCTGGCTCTGTGTGTGGGACGCACAGGAGCATGTCTGGCCTCTGACACAATGGTCTTGGATTTGCAGCACAGCCCTGTGGCAAGCACATTTCTCTCCCTCTCAAGATTTTTCGTAGAGGTGCACAGAGAGAAATGAAAGAGAAAACAATTTCTATTTCTGCTCCTTGTTTTTCCTATGTGGAATGTGTTTGGAGAATTGTTTACCTGGAGTGATTGCTTGGTTGGATTCTGGTGAGGATTGTTTGAGCCTGATGGCCAATCCAACCCACCTGGGGCTGAACTCTCAGAGAGGGTCAAGAGTTGTGTTAGAGATAGAGGAAGTAGTATATAGTTTTAGTATCCTCCTTTTATATAGCATATTAATGTATTATAGCATAGTTATAATAAAGAAATCATTCAGCCTTCTGAATTGAGTCAGACATCATCATTTCTGCCCATTGGGTTTGCCTGCATTTACAATACAGCCCAGCTTGGCTGTGCTGGAGCTCTCCCACCCTCCCAGACCCACCTTAGCTCTCCCTGCTCCAGCCACAGCAGAGCTGGAACTCATGGCATGGATTTTGTGAAATCTGGGGGATTTGGAGGAGTAGAGGGGGCTCATAGGAGGTATGGAACAACAGCACTGTCCAGCTATAAGACTGTTTCTAATCAGTTTTTAGTAATCACTCAAGGAAATGTAAGCACTAGATATGCTTGGGGTTTAATTAGTTTGCTTTCTGGAAATCCTTTGTCTGTTGGACAGTGAAAATTTACAGCTGTCAACTAAAATTTGGGCAGGAATCTTCTGTAATTGTTTTGGAAGAGATTCTTTCCAAGGGTGCCCAAATTTAGATTTAAGCTTCTGAAGTATGATTGTCCTGAAAGTGAGAATGTTTAGCACTGGGCGAAATGGAATAGGACAGGATGAGTTCCCTGGCCCTGGCAGAGGAGGGCAAGTCTGCTGAGTTTCCTTGGCATGTCCTGCTTTACATCAGTAGGTGAACCAGGCTGTTACATCCACCCTCACTTGAAAGAGAGTAGCTAATAGAGTAAAGCTACTGGCTTATTGTAGGTTTGTTCAGCAAATCTAGTAAATGTACACCCATTTCCTCTTTAAAATAAAAAAAGCCTACAATAAGACCACTTATTTCCTTTCCCCTCCCTTTTACACAACTGTAATGCTGTTGAGAGAAACAGCTGCAAGCACTTGAGAAACACTAAATGGGGATTAGAAATGTGCAAGCAGATGCTCAAAAATGTTTCGTTTTTTGCTGTTTTTTTCTCTTCTCTTCATCAGATGCTTTTGTGTCTGCATTAAGCACAGTTTATCCTCTTTTTAAATAGGCTGAACACCACATGCAAAATGAAATTCCTTTTTGTTGATTGAGGTAAATTACTTGTTTGTGCTCTCAGTAGTGCAAGTGCAGTTGTATTTCAAGTCATACACCAATAGAGTAAGTTGGAAACTGTGTAAGTAATACAAAACCCTGTGTGACACTCCTCCTTTTCTCTGCCAGTGTTTAATTATTGGGGGTGGCCCCTGTGGCCTGAGGACTGCCATTGAACTTGCCTTCCTGGGAGCCAAGGTTGTCGTTGTGGAGAAGCGGGACACCTTCTCAAGGAACAATGTGCTGCATCTCTGGCCCTTTACCATCCATGACCTTCGGGGACTGGGAGCAAAGAAATTTTATGGAAAGTTCTGTGCAGGATCTATTGATCACATCAGTAAGTATCTGAAGGCATGGGCACTGTTCAGATAAGAGGTTACCAGGATCAGAAGATTGGTGGAGACATACTTGATTTGGTAGAAATTTCATCTGCCTTAACCATGTGCCAATACATGTGTGCACACAGAGAAGAAGAAAAATTGTCTCATTTAAGCAAGGTGGAAATAGAACAAGTTACAGACTTATGGAGCAGATTTTTTTGTTAGTGTGGTATGGTTAAACAACAGGTTTTGATTATGAGGTATGAAGAATATTGATATTTATTCCAGTATGTTGAAGGTAGACATAAATAATAGAGTGAACTATTTTAAAGGGAAATGTGCTGTAAAATTTTATATTCTAAAACATGCTGGTTAGCAGATCTTTTAAATGTCATCAAGAGGCAAACCTCTACAAAAGCATTCTAAGAAACTCAACCAAAATTAGTTTTGCCAACAAGATTGTGCTGCAAGGGGAAAAGGAGGTGGAAGAGAACAACATCCTGTGGTGGTTGCTATGTTTGCATTCATTACAGTATGGGAAAAAGAAATGCTACACACTTGTGTTAACAATGAATTTCAGTTCTGTGGCAGCTGGGGTTGCTTACTTATCAAGCACATCTTTGTCGCTTGCTCTCCACAGGTATTCGACAGCTTCAACTCATCCTCTTCAAAGTTGCACTTATCCTTGGAGTGGAAATTCATGTGAACCTGGAATTTGTGAAAGTCCTGGAGCCTCCTGAAGATCAAGAAAACCAAAGTATTATCATAATGCAGTTCTTTTTGCAGCAACTTCTTTTTGTGCCAGGTGTTATGTGAAATCATACAAGGCAGTCAAATGCTGTTTAAAGAAATAAAGAGTTTTTTTGCTCTTCTTATTCAGCCAGCCTTGTTAGGTGAAGTTCCAGGTGTGATAAGTATCAGTGTGACAGAGCACTGATAAGTCTTAAAGCAAAACCCAGGCTGAGAAGCTGAAGTTCACTCTGCCTTCTGGCATGTGTTTGAGGCTTCGCAGGGAGTCTGGTGTGGCTTCTTGGGATCTTCTTGCAAAAACAGATTTTGATTGATAATATAAATATTGAGGATTAATTAAGTGCCCAGGGCCTAGTTTTGTGTTCACATTTGATATAACTCCCACTGGAACACAGTCTTGTCAGCATTCTTATGCAAGACTTTTAAACAAACAAACAAAAAAAATCTGATTTTCCAATTTCTTTTAATATTAGTTTTTAGGATGTAGTATCACTAAAGTATTTTAAAATTTTAATTAAAACACTGTGGTATCCCTTCAGAGGGTCACATAGTGGCAGTAGAACAGGTATATTAGTTTAAGTAGTTAAAATATGTATAATTTAAAAATATGGACAGTACAAACACTTTCACATAATCAGCTTTGTAAAAATATTAAATTTAGCATTGTGTTAAATGCTAAATTTAGCTTTGTGCTTAATGCTTTCATTTAATTTCCATTTAGAAGGCAATTAAAAGCATTGATGATAGAATGCTCTTTTTCCTCTTTTAGTAGCCAGCTCTTCCTTGCTGTAACCACATGTATGTACTGCCCTGGTAAGGTATTTCTGTGAGAATCAAGTGCTTGAGCATCTTCTTGTGGTGTGGCTCTGAGATAAAGTTACTGCATTAGGTGATCCAGGGAATGAGAAATGCACCCTTTATCTCACTGCCCTTTGCTCAGACTCTGAAATCACTTCTCTGTTGTAATACTGAAGAATTAATAAATATTATTTGTGTTTTCAGAGATGGGTTGGAGGGCTGAATTTCTCCCCATGGATCACCCTTTGTCAGAGTATGAATTCGATGTTATCATTGGTGCAGATGGCCGCAGGAACACGTTAGAAGGTGGGTGAATGTGTGTTTTTTAGCCGTATCAGTGGTCTTTAGGGTACCTTGAAAGATCTGAAAGTCAGAGGAGAGCACAAAGCAGCAGGCTGCCTTTCAATCCACAGACGTCTGTGTGAAAGCTGTTATTTTATGTGGTACCTTTTGGTTTTGTTGTTAAGTCCTAGCTCAAAATAAAATACATTCAACGTCATTTCTGCTTCTGAGCTCTGTCTATTTGCACTGCCTACAGAATGCATTGTGGTGCCATTGGGCTTGCTTCAAGGTTTAGTAATGATATGATGATTTAACTTGAAGGAAGCTGACAAGATGTCAGGAATGGCACAGCCTTTGCTGTTGTGCTGTGAATTTGCCCTGTGTGTTTGAACTCCTGACCAAAAGGTAACTGTCAAGTATTTAATGAAGGCAACAGAGGCTTTGCTTCTTTGTAAATGAGACTGAACTTCAGAAGCAGTTCCTCTAGAAACAATAGCAAAAGATAATAAATAGCTCTAAGGTGTGTGGGTGTAGAGGGTGTAAATGTTTCCTGAACTTGAGTCACTGCTGAGAATTCAGACCACCTGAGCTGTGTTTCTTAGAGAGACACTGGTTAAGCTGCTCCTGCATCACAGGAACAAACCTTTTACTTAATTATATATTTCCCTTTTAACTCTAATGATATCCATGCTAGTTTCCATTCTCTAAGTACACTTTTTCCTTTTGTTTTTATTAGCTTCATAGTTTGTCTGCTTATTCTTTCATCTGCCAACTACAGTGTGCTTACAGTTAATTCCTTATGATGCTGTACTATATTGTTGTCTGGCTGTCCCCCATAAAAGACTATTTAAATAGTCAGGTACCAGCAAAACCTAATTATTCTTACCTCACCTGCAGACTCTATCAAGAGGCTAATGTTTATCATCATACCAGGATCTAGGGGAGTGATTGGTGCACTGAAGATATGTACAGAAGCCTGTGTTGTCATATCAAATCTATCCCAATGAAATAATGAGAGCATATCAAGAAGCACAGAGACAAAAATCCATAATCAATTTATTTCTTGTTATAATATAACATATTCATATGATGTCATCTGCAGTGGGCTAAGAATACACTAAGGATCCTCTGTCCTATTTCATAATTTAATTACAGATGAGGGGAACATACAGATGGAAAAACTTCAATGTGTGATTGTAAGATTGTGGCCCAGGGGTTTTTTTTCAGTGAAAAGTGAAAGCAGAGATGAAGTGAGGAGCTTCTTGGTTGGTCTCACCTTGGAAATATAACAATTAATCCACTGAATATTTTTCAATTCCGAATATCTGTGAAAAATCTAAGCTGGTAGTGTGTGCACCTAAGCACTGCTACAGGGGTTTCTACTTTTCACATCATTTTCTGCTGCTTTTGACTGCTTATGTCTTGCATCTTTTTCAAGAGCTGTTTACCACCTATATAACAAATACCTAACTTGCCATTTAGTAGGTTAAAAATGTCTCCCTCCACTGAAATTGACCTATTCTATTCCCAGACATGTAAAAAAAAATTCCTTGTTTTTCTTTAGTCATAGCTTTTCTTAACTTCTTCCCTTAGTTCTCCACCCAACCATTTTTTAATGAAACTTTATCTTGAATGCAGTGCAGCTCTAGTTTTGCAGCTGAAAATGGGAAGAATAGACTCTGCATTCAAGGGAATTTTGGAGGCATGGTGGAATCTACTGATGGTGTGTTGTTTGATGAAGTGTAGGAAAGATACTGAGCTGTCTTGAGCTGATCCTCCCTGAAAGTCCAGTCTGAAGTCTGCAGTGGTTTTAATTCCTGTCTTTGCTCACCAGGCTTCAGGAGGAAGGAATTTCGTGGAAAGCTGGCTATAGCAATCACTGCCAATTTTATAAACAGAAATACAACTGCAGAAGCCAAGGTAGAAGAAATTAGTGGGGTTGCTTTTATCTTCAACCAGAAGTTCTTCCAGGACCTGAAAGAGGAAACGGGTGAGTGCATCCTCATTTTTTCCACTACCAAATACAAGAGGCAGCAGGGGAACTCTGTGTGCCAGGCCACCCTCGTGTTACTGGTAACATCAGTTTTGAATAATCTGTGTAAAAAAATTTCCAAGTGATAAAATATTGTTGATGTCAGAAGCTTGCAGATGGAGGTCTCCATTTATGGTACAGTGGGATATTTTTTTAGCTTGGGTGTTGCCACATCATGGCTTGTTTTAGTGTTTAAATTTTTCTCAACTGCAAAAATGTCTGCTACGTTGAACAAATTTGGAAGAGCATTTTCAGGGCCCAGAGATTATTTCCCTTAAGACATGATTTGTTTTGTTTCTATCTGTTCACATGCTGAACAGCCTAAACCCTTTGAAAAGGTCTCTGCCCTTTTGGGAGGAGTTTATTCTTGCTTTTTGATGTGTGGAGCTGATAAACTGAGAAGTCCTAGAATCTGCCATAAATACTAAAAATATGAACTGTGAAATACATCTTAATGGAAAGGAAGATGAATCAACTCTATTCTTGATTTACAGCCGATTTTAAAAAAATTACTATTATGATTGAAACCAAACCCTCTGGTTAGACCCAATGCCAGAGCCCTAGCAACCCAAAAACCACTTTTCTCCCTTGGCACCCAGTTCTACCTCAGGAACAGTTAATGCTGTAGTTAACTAGCTGTTCCCTGAAAGAATGCTGAATAACTTTCAACTGTGCTGAGAAGAACTCCTGTTGGGCGAGACCACTCTCCTCTCTTGTTTTGTTTCCTAGCATTTTGCCCACTAATCCTTCATCCCAGCTGCGAGAGTGGATGCATCCCAAGAAGGAAAGGCACCTGCCAGGATCAATCCCACACTGTTAGTAAATTATATAGGCAGGGCACTGCATTTGGTGACAAATGTCTCTCTTTTCAGGCATTGACCTGGAGAACATTGTTTACTATAAAGACAGCACGCATTATTTTGTGATGACAGCAAAAAAGCAGAGTCTTCTGGACAAAGGAGTGATTATTAACGTATGTAAAAATGCTGGTTAAACCCTCTTTTATTTGCTTGGCACAGAGTAAGTGTGAACATCTGCATAAACCTTGCTGCATGTTAGAAAGGGTGTTTATAGACTTAATCACTTCATTCAAGCTCAGGTCACTTGGATCTTACTCTGACAGTTTTAGAATTTGCTTTTCCCTTCAGTCAGCTCAAAGTTTCAATAGAGAACTGAAAACAATACTACCTAAATTAACCAGTTTTGAAACTGGCTGAAATGGGATCTTGACTTACCTTGGAAATACGCGGTGGGATTGTCACAGCAGAAAATAAAAACCTCAGTTATTTAAGGGTGAACTTAGCACAGCTATGTTCAATTTTATCAAGCAAATAAGGAAGTGTAAAAACCCTACCCCAGGCTAAATTGCAAATTCTCTAAAGTGGGTGAAACATGATAGAAGAAGGCTATAAAAATGACGGCCTGACCTTTCAGGGGTACTTGTGATTTTGAGGTATTTTTTTCTGTTGGTTTTTTTTTTTTCCCTTTCTTCTGTAAAATATAGGGTTTATTTTCTTTTGTTTCTAGAAAGTGTTATGGCACCACTTAAATTTCCTTTTCTGGAAACCCAAGAGAGTTCAATTTTTCTTGCAAAGTACGGCAGTGCCAAAACAGCCAAGTGCAATTTCCTGAAGGAAGTACTTATGGGGAACAGTCAGAAGGGCTTTTGGCTTCTGAAGGGACCACTTAGCTCAGTGCCATGATTCTCTGCTCCCAGGGCAGAGCTGCTGTCCATGACCAACCAAGGTGGGAGAGAGGAAGGGCAGAACCCCTTGGAGGAGTGAGGTTGTGGGGCTGGTGTTTGTAGGTGAGGGCAGTCCTAGGGGATCTGTGGGGAGTTTGGAGCAGAGGAGCAGCATCTGTGGCTCATCAAAGCTGTTTTCCTGACCTACTCAGCTCTGAGTGGAAAAAAATCAACCACCCCAGTGTGTCTGGTGCAACTGGGCTAATAGGGGTTCTGTGGTATCATCTGTGATTAGGGGTCTCATCCATGATTAGGCTGGAAATAGAACCTGCCTCATTAATAATCACTGCCTTTAAGTAGGATGACCTGTAAAGGCAGGGTCCTTTGCCACTCTGCCCAAGGAAAAACCCAGCCCAAAAATGAGCAGAAAAGCTGCTACGATCCAGGTTTGGATGTGATGTTGTTACTGAGATGTCGAGTCAAACCTTGAGGCTGAGTCCCCCATGTTACAGCATCAGTGCTTCTGCTCTTCTGTGGATTCAGATGTGGGGTGCACGTGTGCAGAAAAGCATTTCAGTGATCTTTTGATGTGAGAGAAATAACTTTCTGAAACATCACATGACCAAGGAACTGGGAGGAGTTTGTAATCTTCTATTGCAAACAAAGCTGCTTGTTCAGTATGGGCAAGGAGAATTTCTGTTTGGGACAGTACCTGTGTTTGTGCATTGGCTGTTTGGAGGAGATGACAAGTGTCACTTGTTTCTTGTTGCTGTGAGGTTTGTGGCTCCCAGTCTTGCTGTGACTGTTCCAGAGTCACAGTATCAGAGAGGATACTGGAGTTGCTCATCCCACATCCTTCTCTCCTTGCAGGACTCCATTGATACCGAGCTGCTGCTCTGTGGGGAAAATGTGAACCAGAGCAATTTGCTGTCCTACGCCAGAGAAGCTGCTGACTTTGCAACCAACTACCAGCTGCCTTCCTTGGATTTTGCAATTAATCATTATGGCCAACCAGATGTAGCAATGTTTGATTTTACCTCCATGTATGCATCTGAAAATGCTGCACTAGTGAGAGAGAGGCACAGACATCAGCTCCTGGTGGCTCTTGTTGGAGATAGTTTGCTTGAGGTAAATCTTGGAATGCCTTCTGAGTAGTATTTTCAGGAGTTTGTTTTTTTTTTTTTAATTTCCTTAATCCAACCATTTAACCTAACCTCCAATATAAAATGTCTTCTTTTACATGTCCTGAAACAGTGGTACCTTCTTTGGAATAGATTTTTTTTTTTTCCCCCATTTTTTCTTTTCTCCTTTTTTATGCCATAGTTTGTCATAGCTTATACTTGGCTGGCAGCCTGTGGCTGAGATCCCATTTTGCTTTATGCAATTTGTGTTTCTGTCTGAAAACTGTGAGCTCCTGTCCTCAGCTTGGGTGCATGGCACAACTTTACTGAATTCCGTCATAGACAAAAAGTTGATCCAAATTATTATTGCAGTCTCTTTGCCTAAGTATGTTCCCTTCTTTTCTTCCTGAAGTGAAAAGTACATGCTGCAACTATTTTTTTTTAATTCATGCTGACAGCCTGAGGCAGTTGAAAGCAAATTTAGAAGACGGAAAGGGTATCTTTTTTTTTTTTTTTTTTCATTTTTTCCTTTATTCCATATGGCCCAGGATTGGGGTCACCGAATCACTACTAAAAATAGGAGCTTTAGGAGCCTGAGACCCCAAAGAGGCAGCTCAGAGCTCAGGGTGAGAACAGATTTAATTGGTTGCATGTTTATCTTTGACAGGGTTTTCAGCACTTTGCTGCAGGTTCTGAACTGCTCAGCAAAGTGCTGAAAACCCTGTCAGATAAAAAAAAAAAATGCAACAAATGAAAGCTGCAAGGAAACCATCAATACAATATTCCAGCAACCTCAAAATTGGAGAAAAATGGGAAATGTCCTCACTCTGCTTTGGTTTTGGAAACAAAAAGCTCATTATAGTGGGGGGAAAAAAGATCTAATCACAAATATCTTATTAAAAGAAATTAAAAAGACAAAATCGAGGTGACACTGGAAGGGAGAATCCAGAGGTGACTGTGATCCTACAGCATTACAGGATGGGTGCCATAGAAAATAAGTAAGTTTCTAGGCTAGAGGGAATAAATGCACCAAATATCCCATTTCTCACAGCAAAATGAAGCCCAAAGAGTGGCACCCTGCCTGTGTTTTTCTCCCAGAAAATTGCACCACAGAACAGCTCTCCAAGCACAACCCCAAAGCCCCAATCCCACCTGCATGTGGAATTTCTGTACCAGCCTGGGACACGCTGGGATTTTATCTTTCTAAAAGGATTTTTTACTTTTATTGGACCTTAAATGAACCCCACCTGTTTCTGAAGGGATGGATCACACAGNAAATTCGCATTGAAAGTTAATTTTGTAGTAAGAACTTAAGAAATGTAAACAATTGAAGTGTAAATGCCTCTTGCAGCCATTCTGGCCGATGGGTACTGGCTGTGCACGAGGTTTCTTGGCTGCCTTTGACACGGCGTGGATGGTGCGGAGCTGGGCGCAGGGGAAGCCCCCGCTGGAGATCCTGGCTGAACGGTGAGTGCTGCTTTGCTCCCCAGCATCTCCAGTGTTTCAAAGAGGCCACAGCTGCTGCTAGAAGGCAATAGATTTCAGAATGCTATCAGGAGAAATATTATTAGGGTTTGAATCACTGATTTATGTCTCTGAAGTGTGATCCTTAAAGAAATAAACCAAAGAGACCTTGTATCAAAAACCCCAAATCTCTAGCCGTCTCAACACCTGGTTTTTTATCATTAAAAAAAAAAAAAGAAAAAAAATCCTGAAAGGAGCTTAAATAAATTCTTCTTTCAGAGTTGGTCTCTGTGATTTTAACTCTGCATTTTGGTGTAGTGGTACTCTCTTTAGGCTGATAAATATGTAGAGAATTGTTATAATGCTGCACCAGAAACTTTTTTTGACTGGAGCAAGAAAACCTGTTGCTAAGTACAACAGAGTCTTGGTGTCACCATGGTCTGATGAAGTTGAAATTGCTAACTTAGGTTCTGCTGGCAACCACCCTACTCTGCTACAGCTGCCCAGGCTGTTTTGGGGCAAATACGTAATAGGAAGAGGCATGGTTGTGGGAATGCAAGCAGGAGCTTTACTAACTACAGCACTTTGGGAAGTTTTAAGATAGAAGCCTGTCGGATGACTCAAACATTACCTAGTCCCAAATGGAAAATTGAACAACATAGTAAAAAAAGCTGTGGTGGTTATAGGAATTGCAGGATGACAGGATTTAGTGCTGTTGTGTGGTAAGTTACTTCTTGAGTAGATGTTAAAGCAAAACCAGATGACTGGATGATGTAAGGTCCTATTTTTCCCCCTCCTTTTTCTTGCTCACTTCCTGCCTCAGGAAAATATGGACTTAAGCTCTGAGTGTCCATCTTGTCCTTTTTCTGTCTGGCATCCTTCTGTTGAGTGGGGATAAGAAATGGGATGGATGCATTATGCATTTGATCCATAACACTTGTCCTGGCATAACCAAAATAAGGTTTAGGCAGCTGCAAAAAAACCCCAATCTCTTATGGAGAAATATTTATTTTAATACATAACTCTTGCATCTTTTTCCTCTGCAAGAGAGAGCATTTATCGACTCTTGCCTCAGACGACCCCTGAAAATATTAATAAGAACTTTGACCAGTACACCATTGACCCGGGAACAAGATACCCAAACTTGAACTCGAGCTGTGTTCAACCTCACCAGGTCAGTACTTAAAAGGCTTGCTTGTGAAATCAGTTCTTTTTTTATCAAGGGTAAATAGAACTGCAAGGAGTGTGTCAACAAAATCTTCAGGAGACTATTTAATTTAGAACCAGCTGCTGATAAAGCTAACCTGGAAACAAAACCCTTTTTTTGTCTGACATTATGCTGGTAATTGCTTTTCCTTGTAGGTGAGACAATTATATGTTACCAATGAGCTACAGCAGTGTCCTCTTGAAAGAGTGAGCTCCATTAGAAGATCAGTGAACCTCACAAGACAGGGTAAGTGGCATCTCTTGTTTGCTGTAGCTTAACATTTGTGGCCTTCTGAGCATGCAAAAGCTGACTGAAATGTTTGCTTTCCCATTTCTACAGAGTCAGATATTCGGCCTAACAAGCTTTTGACGTGGTGCCAGAAGCAGACAGAGGGATACCGAAACGTTAATGTCACTGACCTGACCACCTCCTGGAGAAGTGGCCTTGCTCTATGTGCCATCATCCATCGCTTCAGGCCTGACCTCATGTAAGTGACAGCTGTGGAGCTCCTCAGGGCAGGCATTTGCAAAGGGACTACCCTTTGCAAAGACCAGAACAACCCTGACACTCTGCAGTCCCCTTCTGTGGCTGCTTTCTTCAAGGAAGTGCACACCATGGCCAGGTTTGGCGGGAGGAAGGGTGGGGTTGGGTTTGCTTTGTTTCTTCTGTATGCACTTGCACGCTGTTTAAAATGAAATATATGTGCTTTCAAAGAGCTAGGAGGGTTTTGAACCCTATGATTTATCATGTTTGTGGGAGTCATGTGTCTATTTAAAACAAAATTTGCAGTTCTGGGGGAATGTGTAGAGCTGTGTTCCGGGATCCCTGGAGACAGGTTTTAGTGTCTGAAACCACAGCCATGAAGTACAGTCCTGAGTTACAGAAATGTGGGGTGAGCCTGAATGAGCCATCCTCCATGTGTTGTACTGGTTGCTGTGACAGTCAAATAGGGAAATGCTGGACCATGGAGATGGAGGTTTTGCATGACTCTGTCCAGGAGAGCACAGAGTCCTTTCACGTGGGCAAGGCAAGGGCTGGGCCTTGAAAATTATCTGCCCTAGGGGTTGAGTGTAAACAAGCATTCCCCTTTTGGCACAGTTTCTGGGGTCCTAGTGCTGTATGAACCAACTCCATGCGTCTGAATATTTTGCAATGTCCCATAGTTAGATACAAGAAGGTCAGTGTGTAACAGGTGTCAGGAAATGCCAATTGCTGGCGCTGCCGGGTGCAGTCTGTGGGGTGACTCTCTTATCTCACCAGTCTCCAAAATGCAGTGGATGCATTCTCTTGTCTTCCTACAGAGCCTTCAGAGTCACACATGAATTACTGTCAACCTCCCTTTATTGTGGATAAATGAAAGGAATGATTGAGCTGTTTTATGAGGTGTGATAAATTGGGTAAAAAATAAGAGTGGTACCTAGGGTGCTTGTACAGTTTGTGCCAGAGGAAGAGCTGAGATTTTAAGAAACTTGTTTTTGAAATTTAAGGAATTTTTTTGCCTTGGGTTAGTTTGAAACAATTAAAATTATGGATGTTTTTGGGGGAGAGGGTACAGAAATCTAAGTAATCTTTGCTGCCTGTGGAAAACATGTTCTCTACACTGCTCTCTACAAAGCTGGTAAATTTATCTTCCTGAGCTAACAGACCTCATGCTGTTCAATTAATGTTATGTTTGGATCTTGTTGGCTTTTTGAATTCAATGAGCCTGCAGAAGGACTTGGCTGGATGAAAGCTAGGCAGGCAAGAGAGGTGGCTGCCAGTGACAGCCCCCAGCTCCAGAAATGGGCAGTTGTGTGGGTGAGACAAGAGGAGAAATTCTTTGGGGAGTCAAAAACTCACATTCCACTGTGAGGAGAAAGAAACTACCCTGCATGGAGCTTTGTAATTTATTCACATGTTTATTTTAATCATGAATTTTGGAAGCTGTTCAAAAGATCAGAGTCTTAGAATAGGTCCCATAGAAAATGGATTAGAGTGGATAACAGAGTTCCAGATGTGTGATGTACTTTAGTGCTCTGCTAAATTCAGTTGTGACCTGGACAGGAGGTCCCTGCTCAAACTGTGTGTGTAACACCTTAAAAAGGGAGTGCCTGTGCATGCATGTGCACACACATATAATATGCTACTTGCATACAATGCTGCCCTAAATTTATTCCTCCTGGCTTTCATGATTTATAAAACTAATTGAAACTAAGTAATCTGTTGCCAATGGATGAAGTTTGTAGTAGTTCAGCTGTAGTTGGAGAAGGAAAAGGTTTCTTAGCACTTCTGAGGAAGAATCGCATCTCTCCAATAAATAAGGATATTTTTTTTGTGGGACTACATCAAGGTCTATTTTGGTGAAAAAACTTTTAAATTACATTTCTGGCCAAGTCAGTATGTTTAATAAGGGGATTTGTGCGAGGCTGTTACCTTTGGCACTGGTACCAGTCAAAGGCTGGTACCTTTGACTCCGTAGCTTTGACCCAGTGAGGTGCCCGTACCCACATTCCTGGTGCTGCTCTGCCGTGGGCACCCCAAAGGGAGCAGGGCACGAGCGACGGCGCTGTGCTGTCCCCGCAGTGACTTCGAGGCCCTGAAGGAAGAGGACGTGGTGAGGAACAACCAGCTGGCATTCGACGTGGCCGAGCAGGAGTTCGGCATCCCGCCGGTGACCACGGGCAAGGAGCTGGGCTCGGCCGGGGAGCCCGACAAGCTCAGCATGGTGCTCTACCTGTCCAAGTTCTACGAGCTGTTCCGGGGCACCCCGCTGCGCGCAGTAGGTGAGGCACAGCACTCCTGAGCTCTGGCAAATGGGAAAGGGCTTCATCCCAGCTGCTGGCTCTTGAGTCTTTTCCTAGCACAGCCATTCTGGCCTGTTGATGCTTCTGCCTCTCTCAGCCCCAAATTATCAGGCTAGCCCAGAGATACGAGGCCTTGAGGGGAGGAACATCAGGAGATGGGCAAAGATTCAAAAGAGGCTCTCACCCCGATGTGGTTGTCCAGCTACTTTATTCCATGAGATCCAGGGAAAAGAGAGTGAACAGGAAGGGTCAGGGGCTTATCTGGGCTCTGGGCAGGGAGGGCTCTTCTGGCTCTGCTTCATCAGGGCAGGAAGGAGGGGACCATGCTTATCTGATCAGAGTCACAGAGGTCCTGTAAATGGGGAAAAGCACAGCCCGAGTGCACTGTAACAGCCTGTAAGGGTTACCTCGGGCTTAACACAAGAAAGGGGGAAAAACTTGATTGAATACCACGGTTTTGTGGGTCCTTGGTGGTTTCAGGGAGTAGGAGCAGCTGGATAACTGCTGCTTGACATCATGAAGGGCATGTATCAAGTTGTTGGTGTGATTCCCCGGTAGGGATGACCGCACACAGCACATTCATGCTTGTGTTTTTCTCCTTCTTTTTTTTAAACCACCCAAGACCAAGATTCCACGTATTTACTTCTATTTGCCTGTGTTTAATATATAATTGCTGCCAGCACTCAACTGGAAAGCTTTGGCTTAGTCAGAATAATTTAAAAACAAATCTATATAAATATCCTAAGCAGCTGTTTTTTTAACAGATGCTGCTGAGAAGCAAAATGGAGAAAATAAGGATCTTGGTTCACTGAAATCATCGAATTTCATCTTTAATAATTATAGCAATTTAACCTTACCAAGAAAAAGAGTACCAAAGGTGAGTTGTGAAGCAAAACTTGCCCTATCACTTTTTTTTTCTGAAAAGATGAAAATAAACTTTTACATAAATAGAGGCTCAGAAATAGGGGATTTATATATACACTACTATAATTTTCTGAGTTATTTCTATCTGTAAGAAAAAGAGTCCTGTAGCTCTGTATTCCTGGAGTTAAATATACAGCCATTTTATTATATATATGTTCAAATAATCAGTGCTATGCTAGGTTGTTTATTAATTAGAAGAGAGTACTGCTTTTTGAACAGAGCAGTGATTTGCAGTTTCTGGATGCTGTCAGGGCTCTGAAGAGAAGCTTTCCAGCTCTACAGAAGAAAGCTGCAATGGTGACAAACTGGTGGGCAGGTTGATCAGCAGCTTTGGGATAACAATCTCTTAGTCATGCCCATGTACTTTTCTCTTTTGGTTACTTTTTAATGAAGACTTACTGACAGGCCCTGTTATGTGCCTGTATTATAAAAATATCCATGCCCATACATGCTGTTATTAAGGACTTCAGAGCCTTGAAGCTTTGCAGAGGCCTCAGTTAACAGATGTACACATCTACTGAATTTGTGAGTATTTTAATATACTGCTTTTTACATTTGTTGCTCTCTTGTCTTATAGAAATATAGTTTCTATTTTTTTCACCTGAATAATTACTCCAGAATTTCCAGATATTTCCTATGCTGAATTTGTCTTGAATAATATCTTCTATCCACAAACACGTTTTCAAAACCTGTGGACAGTCAATTGTCCAGTAACTTCAAATATCCTTGTTAGGAAATAATTTTTTCCTGCCACCCACACACACACAAAACTAAGTGACATGGTTCCCACATAGCCAAGCAGTGAGAAGCCAAACAGGCAGAATAAACTTTGCTTTTTCTTGTGGGTGACATCTTTAAAAGGAAAATCTTTATCATTACCACAATGTTGTTTTTCAACGAGTTGTTTGCAGAAGTAAACAGACTTTTAGCAGTGGGGAGAACTTTCCATTACTGAGCCATAGAGCCTCTGATTAACCTCCTGTCATGAAATAAGCCTGCTGCCATAGCAGGAGCTGGAGTTCTTGGCACTACGTGGAAGCACGAGGTGATTTGCTTGAAGGACCCCTCTGGTTTCCCACTTGGAAATGAGAAGTGGAAGTATTACTTCCCAAATCAGCTTGGGAAACAAGGCGTTTTGTGTGAGGTTTTGCAGCTCTGTCATGGATGGGCTGTGAAACCAAGCAAGGTGAGTTAGGGTACTTGGATTAGGACAGACTTGGGAGTACCATAACCAGCTGAAACTGCTGGAAAATTAAGCTCCTTGGAAAGCAATTGCTTGAGTTCAGGGTTTGGCTGCGGCTTCAGTTTTTTAGGGTTCTTTTTCCTGCAAAAAGTGTGCTGAGCATTATCCAGGTATATATATATCAAACGTTCTGTCCAGGCTTTAGGAGAGCAGAGAGTGTTGCTAGTTGAACTTTTATGGCATGTAGTTTGTCCTTGGATTGGACTGGAGGAGGGATCTTTATCTGGGCACAGGCTGTGAGAGACCAGGAAGCAGGGCCTGGAGCTGGGGTGGCTGTGGCTGTTCTGGCAGCCTGTGCTGAGCTGCATCATGTTTTCCATTCTCCTCGGAGTGTCAGCCTGGCTGGAGAGGAACTGAGATTTCCTGTGCTCCAGACTAATAAATGAATGGAGGTGTTTACACAATGCAGGGCGCAGCCCTTTTGGAGCCTTTTTGGAGCCTTGCTCGGCAATTAAATTGCTTTGTCTTTCACTTCTTTGTCAGCGTGTTAATGAGAGTCCTTTCATTCTGATTTCTGAAAGGTAGCACCTTGCTTTGCTCCATTCACTCTAGCAAAACCTGCTTTTATGTGGCCCAGGCTATTATGCAGAATACATTGTGGTGTTCTCTGTTCACCTTTTCTGCATAGACTGATGACTGTAGGTAGTGCAAAGCTGAGTTATACTGAGCTGCTGCTTTGAAGACCATGTAGCAAAGCAAAGTAATTGAAATATTGTCATCTGATTCCTTTGGTGATTGCCCACAAGTTGTTTGGGATTACTTGTCTTCAATGCATAATGATTTATTACAGTCAGTCTATATGTAAAAAGGAAGCCTGCATTCTTTGATCTTTATTCCTTTTTAGGTTTTTTTAAGTTGACTGAGCAGACACTAAGTTACAGCGTGGGCAAATCCAAAAAGTAGAATATAGTTTATTGTTAATAAATTATCACTGTATCAAGTCTTCATGACTGAATGTTGTAAGAAGTGATAAAAATTTGCCAGCAATGACTACTTTTCAAGTTTGTGCAGACTGAGTATGAAGTGATTTGTGTAATCTCTAGCTGAGTAAAATAATGAAATATGTGCGTGGCTCAAGCACAAAAGAAGCAATTTGGTTGCTTGAGTGTTGTAATGTTCAGCTATAGTCAGGGAGGTGAACCTTATGAGGGAGACAGGCCTTTAAGGCAGCCAGTAATTGCTCAAAAAAGGAAGTGTGACTGCACTATGAATTCATGATCTGCATGCAGACAGATGGGTTAAGAGAGACTTGGGGGTTACAGTGAAAGAGTGAGGGGTTTCTGGATTTTGTTACTTCTCTGGAAAACAGTGCAGTCTAGCTGAAAATTGACAGAATAACTCATGCTGTAAAACCGTTTTTTCAAGGATATGTTAGTGTTTTATGAATTATAAACTCCTCAGTACTGAAAGAGGGACAGATAAACACCAAGTTGTAGGGCCTGTTTAGTACAGTGTACAAACATGCATTCTCATGCCCTGGAGTCCAGTTAGAGCTCCCAGTCCCAGGGGCTGTGTGACAGCTTTTACTGCCCTGATACCTGCATGAGGAGCAGTCAGCTGAGCTGGGGGCTCTGATGGGGCAGTGAGACCCCCTGATGCTGGCACTGCTCACCTGTGTGTGCCTGACTGAGCACAGCCCAGACCTCACCTGCCTGGGGATGGAACTTCTCCTGGGAGGAACTTGGGAATTGCTGCAGTAACCCATGGAACTTGTTTTGGCTTTGCCCTTTTAGGTTGAAGGGAAAACAGAAGAAAATGAGACTAACAAAAGGCGTCGGAAAGGACTCTTTGGTGTCTTTGAGAAGGTTGGTGTTCAGTGGTGCCCACTCATGTCCAGCTCCTTGATGGGCACCAGAGCTGAGGAAGCAGTGGGAGCTGGGGGACCAAGGTTTGACCTTTGGAGCATGGCAAGGAAAAATCTCTTCCTTGAAGCCTTGAATTTACTGTGGCGTGCACAGAAGTGCTCAATTAATTTTAATAATTTGGTAGGGAGTAGAGCATTAACTAAATTGATCTAGTTTTTGTTCTGACACAGGAACATTTAAGCTATTGGGATTTTTTTCCTTTTCCTAATTGTCTATTTAGACAATTTTTTATTTGAAGAGTTTGCATTGCAGCTTGGTTTCCAGCACTTCTCTAATTAGTCACCTTTATGAATAGCGGCACTGATGAATGCTCCCTTTTACTGTACTCTGGGACCCAAGAAAACATTTTTTTGGCAACTTTTGCATGCTAAACATATCATTTTAGTATACTGAAGATTTTATTTCCTTTCACCCCTTGCTGAAAAGGATGTTACCTCTCTCCTCCTCTCCCTTCATGAGTGTTGTACGAAACATAAAAAAAACACAGTTTGTTGTTTCTTTGCAGACTTCAGGCTCTCCAAGCCAGGGGACAAACAACGGGAAAGAACAGAGTGATGGCAGAGAAGGCATGAACCAGAACAAAGTCAAATCAATGGCAACTCAGCTGCTGGCAAAGTTTGAAGAGAATGCTTCAAATACAATTCTGCGGAGACAGGTAGGTCATAGATGGACATGAAAGCCACCTCTGAAATTGAACTGTAGCCCCTCCTTGTGAAGGTGATGCAAATTTCCCAGGAAGACAGGAGTCTGTTAGCTGTTTGAAGTGGATTGTCTATTTTAATACTACCTGCAAATTAAAAGTATTTCTCTCAATACTTGGTAAACAAATACAACTCATACAGATTGACTAATGCATCTAACAAAAATACATAGCAATGTGTTACAGTGTCTAGAAATCTCATGGGAGTGAGACTGTAGAATCTGTGTTATTTGGAAATCTAAGCTGGCTGCATACAGTATTGCAGAAGGCCTGTTGTTGCCTGTATTTTTCAAATAAAGCACACTGCGTATCCTGTGGAATCTGTCTTTATGGAAAATCTAGGGGGTGTAAAAAGGAAACCAAATCTCTTACAAGATATGTCTGGCTGCCATTTCCATTCCAAAACCAGGCAGAGTGGAATACATTTGTGCATCGTACAGCATTTTCATGGTTTGTTGTTGGTGTGACTAGAGATGTTTTAAAAACAATCCCATGCTGCCAAGGTATGGAGGAGAAGCTTAAAATCACACTTCAGCCAGAAATAGTTGGAATCAGCAGAATTTAGGTCTGTCATCTGAAGGAAGGATGAGCAAGGTGTGGATGTTTTGACAAAGATGGTGGCTTTCTTAATTCTCCATCCTGTATTTGTTTGTTTATTTAAATATTTTGGTCCTCCAATAGTGTAGGTTTTATAGATGTCCAGTGACTTTGTCTATCCTTGAACCAAAGTTGTTTGCATGCTACCTGGCTACTTGTCAATGCCCTGAGCTTTTGGTGTGTGGTAAGTGGCCAGAGATTTCCTCAGCCATGCTGAAGGAAGTTGTTTTGATCATAAACTCTGTTAAAAAGGACTGAATGTGTTCAACTTAAGTATATCTTTGATGGTAGAAGTTGCTAATAAAATGGGTGGCTGGCAAGAATAGGCAAAAATGTGTCTTTAAAAGAAGCTTTTTATTTCTTCCTGCCTCAGAAATTCATTGAGTTCTATTTACTGTCTTCCTTTTTTTTCCCTCCTTCACTCTGTCTTTGCAATTTTAAAAATGCTTCACAAGGAGCTAACAGATAGGCCAGCCCTGCTCTCCTCTGACCCTCCTGTTAATCCTCGCTTTGCTAAACCTACGGATCCAAGCCTTCTTCCACCTCAACCAAAAAGGCAGGTAGGAAGCTCCTATGGGTAACACCTGGCAATTACAGCATTTATATCACTGCTGGGAACTCGCTGTTATTGCAGGGCTACACAAGATACAAAGCAATATTTGGATGGAAACTGCAGAATTCACAGACACATTTAGCTGAGAATTGTGAAAATACCATTAGAAAATTAAAGCTTTTTTACTCCTGCTTTGCCAGATGAGAAAACTCTCTGAAAGTGTGGAAATACCCTGAAAACATAAGTGTTGATTTCTGTGTTACCATATCTAGACTCCAAATTGTATGAATGTAATTACACAGTTATATTTAACATGTGGCAAAACTACAGCAGTACCAGAAAATTTGTGCATGTACTTGATGCTTTGGGCTATTGTAAAGATAAGACTAAGAGAGAAACCTGGCAAAAATATCTTAGATAAAAGCTTGAGTATTGAAAAGCTGATATTGTTGCTCAGGTGTTTTATTTCTATAAGTAGAACTTGTGATAAGAATTTCTGCTGAAAGCTCTCTTGCAGCATCACATATATGGAGAAAAATTTTTGACAATGTAGTTTACATTTTTCACTTAGTACTTTCACTGAAAGCAATCTCATCTCAAACAGTATTGATATTCACTTTTCATCAGAGTTTTAAATTGAAGTAAATATCCTGCAGTGGCACTTCAAGAGCAGTCTGCAGTGAAATGAGATCTGTATTGCATGTGGAAATCTGTAGGTCAGAAGCTATTTTATATGAAAACTCAAATTCAGAGATGTGTTCTGAATGCCTTAGAAAATGCCTTAAATCTGAAATATATAATATACTGATTTGGGTCAGACTAGACCTAGAACTATGGCAAGAATTACTGTTGAAATCCCCATAAATATAATTCGATTACAAGCTTAGTTTCAGGCAATTGTGATGCTAAAAATCTCCAACTCAAAACTTCTGCTGTAAACCCTAGAAGAAGATGTTCTTCTGCACTGTTGCTGTCTGAGGTTATCCACAAATACTCAGAAATGTAGAGAAGGATGTTAAGGCCTGCACAAGTTGTGTAGGACTGATTTATTTCAGTGCATGCCCACAAACACCAGAAGTGCAGTAGATACTATGCAAAGAGTGATGTGAGAACATTTTATTTCTAGTTATGTGCATGACTGTGCCATCCTTTCAGAAGCATCCTTAAAAGCTGCATGTACTGCATGGTAGTGCAGAAAGCAGAGTTTTGTTCACTTCAAGTGTTTCCTGGTTTCAGGTGGTAGCTAGGAGTGAACACGAGGTCAGGGAACCCAAACAGTCTTTAAATGGTTCTGATCATATGGCCAGGAGAGCAAAGGCTGTGCACAAAACAGATCCCCAGCCCAGTCTGTCAGAAACCTCTGAAAATCTTGCATCTGCCTGTTCTGCTGCATTTGTACTTTCTGGAGTGCTTGAGCGCCTTCAGCACCTGGAGGAAAAAATGAAACAGGTGACAAGCAACTTTTTTCCTTTCTGTCTCTTAAATGCCTGTGATAATCTGTGTACTGTGGTTTTGCTGGCTTGTTCTCTGTTGACTTTAGGTTGTATTAAGACAATAAGAAGTCTTTCTACATACTTCTATGTTTTGTTTATGGATGTGGTTTTAACTGAAATCTCTCTCTTTCTTTTCTTGGCTGTCCTCTGGCTGTCACTGCAGAAAAGAGCTCAGAGCATAGCAAATAGGGAATTCCATAAAAAGAACATTAAGGAGAAAGCAGCACATCTCGCCTCAATGTTTGGATACATGGAGTTTCCAAAGGTGAATTTTAAGTTTTGCACCTGAAGAACTGCTGAATTGCAAGGTGTATAAGAATTCATGAAGGGAAAGAAATTGCAGTGGTTTTGGTTTTAACTTCCTTTCATTTTGTGTGGATCTGAAAAGTAACGTGGATCCCACTGAAACTAGTAAAAAGTGTTGTTTAAATATTATTGCATAGTTTGATTGAGGTAAAACAGTCTGAATCAAAAAGCTAATCAGAGTGCTTTAGCAGGAGAGAAATATGTTCAAATAAACTATGTCTTGTGCTTAAGCACACACTGCTGGCTCACAGTTTCTAACAATGCCGAGCAGTTGTCCTCTGTGCACTCTGATTTTTGCTGGATTTCATTATGCTTTCTCCCAGCACTATCTTACTTTACTGCCCACTGTGAATACTTCTATTAAAGAAATAGTACAATAATATCATTCACCATGAAGATGCCTTGATTATTTCCATGGGCCCTTACTGTGCAGATGTAGAGGGAAGAGTAGAACTGTCATTGTTGTTTCTGGGTTTTTTGATGCATGACGGTGAACTTAACCTGTGTTGATGTCATTGTCTCTTGGATAACTCTCCTGTTTCTGCTCTACACAGAATAAGCTACCTACTAAAGGCTTACCCCATTCTCAGCCCCCAACTCCCTCTTGCTCTCCACCTCATCATTCAGCTGTTGCTGCTTCATCATCTGTTGGTTCAGCTTCCTCTGCTGTTTCTTCTCAACAGGTACTCTCTTAAGAGATTTTTCATGTAAAACCCAAACTTGTACTCAAGCTGCTTGAGAAATGGCTTGAATGGAAGGTGCTGCCAGCAGACCTGTTGTATAGGTTATAATTCGCATTTAAATCAAGCTTTCCTTTTTTGCTGTTGTTAGTTCTGCATGTTTGTAAGAGAAATATCATCAGAAATGGCTCAGATAAAAGCTGAAAAACAAAGCAAATGCTTAACACTTTTTACTTCAATTCTGAAAATTTTGCATTGCTGCTTATTTTAAATTATAAGATCTGCTGTTGGATGATACCACAGGTATGCTGAAGAAAGCTTCACATTATAAAGCAAACTGAATGCTGTGGCGTTGGTTAGTTTTCTTGGGTGGCATTTATGTTTCTTTTTATAAGAATATCCGTCTGCTCTGCAGGGGAAAACCTGCCCAAAGACGGTTTTTTAACCATATCTTAGGATGGACATTTCTTAGAGTTGTATGAGTATTTACCATTAAAGAGATTTTATTTTTGTTTGTTTAATTATTTGTACTTTAAACTTGCTTCTGCATGTGAATATCTAAAATAGAGTTCTTTGTAGCAGCAGACCTTATGGAGAGGACACATCCATACTTGGTGAAACTTCAGTCAGAGATACTCAGTTCTTACTACTGAGGCTGATGCTAGTGGGCTGTGTTGTGATGACTGCCTGGCTCCCAATCCCAAGGGAAATACAGGGGACACAGCCCTTCAAGGACACTGCAAGCTCAGCAGATGCCTCGCTGCAGTAATCCCCTAATTCCCTAATTCCTTTCATTCATCTTGAAAGTAATTCCTTTTTCTGGATTTACCTCTTGCTTTTTATGACCTAAGAGCTATAGCATGTGATGGGTTTTAAGCTAAGTCATGGTTTCCAAAAGACTGAGGGCTGATGTTCGTTTGATTTGGAGAACTATTGTGACTCTGCCAAGAGAATAAAAAAAAAATCCAAACCCAAGCTATCTGAAAAACCCTTTAGAATATGAGAACTAGGCTTTTAATTATATGGAGAATATGTGAGACATTATTTAATTGGGATTTTAACATCACTTCTTGGGGAACCTTTGTTCTGAGCAATCTTTTTTTTTCTGGATATTTTAAAAATTGGATTTTGTTTAAGGAGCACTGACAGCCTTGATTAGTTTGCCTTTGTACTCAAATGCTGTGGTAATAGTTTGTTGTCACTTGGTTTCACTCAGGCTGAGTTTATTTCAGCTGAAAAGTGCTCTCTCCAGAGACACTGGCAGAATGCAGCTCAGCTGAAGCAAGAAAATCTAGTTCTGTCACCAGCACAGTAAATATATGTTCATCTCACTGGGTAAATATTTGGCTAGTTAAGTAGGACTGCATTTACACTTTGGCAGATCTACATACATGAGCATTTTGATGCCTGCATACACAGCTCCATGTGTAGTAGAGGCTGCCAGCCTCTTGTTGACTATGCATTTCATAGGTGTAACTATGGTGCATTTTGTGTGGCATTTTGGAGAATTTTTAAACAGCAGGTCTGGTAATGATCAGGTGATCTTTACTCCTCCTGTCAGGAGCACAGGTGGTAATAGAGTCTATCCCTGCCCTTTCATGGTCAAATTGTTGTCCCTGTGTTTTATCCTTACAGATTGCACGCTTTTCAGAATGTGAAAATTTTATCCTGCTCTATGAAACACTGACTAAACGTGCAGTGCTATATAAATTAAAAGTCAGCAGTATTTCAGATGCACAGTGTGCATTTTCGAGTGCTGTTCAACAATACATTTGGACCTCTCTGCTGTGAATATGTACCGGGAATATGTACTGCCTATATCTCTGTTACCTTGACGGGGCTTATGGGTCTCAAAATTTGAATTTCTACTCTCTATTCTGAGAATTAGCATTAGTTGAGTGTAGGCTTCAGTATCAGAAAGAGTTTTGGGATTGATAAACCAACAGGAAGAACTGCTATGTGTTGCTGTCAGTGTTTCTGCTTTTTCCCCAGAAGACAAATAGTAGGTTATAGAAGTGTTTTCAGTTCTGTAAAGCTTCATGATATATGACCCATAAATATCAGCACCTTCCCATGGTTTTAAATAGCTAGTGCTGTCATTTTAATTTCAGGTTAGTTCTGAGGTTGTTACCAGACATGGCAAACCATTGCACCTGTTGAGTTTTCCTTGGAACAGTATTAGTTATGGAGACACAGTTATTGAAAAGGGTGGCTATGAAATCATGCCTAATTACAGAAACATGTTACTAAGCGTAAATCCTGCAAGGAACACTTGAAAAGAAGGCTGTGGGACCATATTGTTTCTTTCAAGACATGCAGTCATTACAACTCAGTAAGAACTACCTTTGTGTGCAATATGTCAATAATAATCAAAAGTGCCTTCTAGCTTCAATCAGCTGTCAAAATTCACATAGCTAGAATTATGCGTTAGCATATATTATATTACACGCTGGGCTTTGGTTATTCCTGTTTTCTGCTCAAGGTTGGATTGACCTTCAGAAAACTCTGTTAACCTGAGCTTTGGATGAGTGAATCCACACTGTGTGTCTTAAGAACTGGGTAGGTTTTGCAATCAATTTATTCCCTGCAGAGCTTGGACCAACAACTTCCTTTCAGTGACGTGACTCTAATTACCAGCAGTAAGCAGTGCTGGGGTGTTTCCTACACACAGTAACTTATTACTCAAATCTGTTTATCTCAGAGGGAAAATATACGTAGCAGCTTGTACGAAAAGTAAATAAATCACCCTCAAAGCAAAATAAGACCAGAAAAATCATTAAGGATATGAAAGAACAAAGGGAAAGCATTGTATGCTTTTGGAGGCAGAGAGCATGTTTCCTTTGTTTTACGAGAATGCTACTGAGGCTGACTTGGCTGGCTGTGCAGTTCTGAATAATAACACAGGGGAATACAGAAGACTTTCTCTTCCCATGGTAATAACCACCCTGGTCAACCTGCTGAAAAGCAGCATGCCACTGACACTCAGCAGTCTGTGGAAATCACAAACGCTTGGGATTTTTAAGCATTTTCTGGTTGTTCCCTGAAATTCACCGTGTAAGGTAACTCTTTAGGATTCCTGTTCAGCAAAGGCTTTAAAGCTGCTGGCACAAAGCTGCCTGAACTATGGGCAATATTCTGTTCCATGCAGACAGTGGCCCCAGCATTACAAAGCTGTGTGTGACCTGAGCAGAGCAGCAGCCTCGGAGCACTCAGGATGTTCTTTGCGTGTCTCTGAGGGTGGCAGGTGCTCTTGGTGGATCCTCATCCTGCCCTGATGTTTCTGCTTGGTGATTGAGTGGCACTTGAACTGAACAAAATAGTTCTGTTGGTGTACAACATCATCTCTTGCCTGACCAAGTCAGGGCTGACCAAAAGTTAAAGCTTGGTTTTAAGGGCATTGTTGCTAAATTAAATTGAAGTCTCACTTGCTTTTACTTGGAACATGAATTCACATTCATTATAGGAACATTTCCTTTTTAATAACATTTTTAAAGTGTTTGTAAACATGCAATTTTCTTGTTTTGACTGCTTTAATGTTGACATAGATTGTTCCAAAGGAGAACAGAAATCAGCCAACGGGATGAATTTCAAGGTGTAGTTTAGGCTCAAGGATACTTTTCCTGAAATTCAACTACTTGCCCTTCAAGCACAGCGTTGTTATTTAACTGATTGCTCCAGTTCAAGGAAAACTTTGTGTTTCAGCTAACTTTGAACACTTTCTTTTACATTGGATCTTGTGGACAAGAACTTGTACATGGCCTGGAGATTGCTCAGCATATTCAGAAGTGCAGAATTTGGGGAGGAAATTTTTTTTTGTCCCATGTTCTTAAGCAAATCAAAGGAACATAGTTTTCCTGTTGGAGCAAGTAGCACGTCTTGTAGTGGTTTATAAATCAGTGTGCCACCTGGAACAGCGTTGTGGTATGTAATTAGCAGTTCACTTTGCAGTTGTTACCCACAAGTTATCCAGATATTGAATAATATTTTAAAGTCTTTTTATGCTAAACAAGACCAAACAGGACAGAAATGTATCCCTTAAATGGCCTTTGTAGTCTTAACATGTATATTTTGTACCTGCCTGGGTATCAAGTTAATGATGAGATAACTCTCAAAAGATAAGGGGGAGCTGTAAAGGATTAGACATGTTCCCTTGATTTTTTTTTTTTTTTAATCCATAATAATTTTTGAAAACACACCCACAGTGCACTATAAGTGTTTTTAAACTTGATAGAAAATGCTTTAAAATTGTCTTAAAGTATTTGAATACTGTTGAATTTATATTTTTCTTCTTTCTTCATGGTAACTTTCAGGTATTTTAAAACCTTCTATTAACAGGACTTGGTGCTGTGGTAGTAGACAAATCATTTCACTGAGAAGAGGGGGACTTCCTTGAGATTTGGGCTCTGTGAGAGACAAATGGAGAGTTAGATATGATATAATGTATTTGTCCGTATGGAAAAAACCAGTGCCCTGACTTCAGAAGCAGAGTACCAGAGCCCTGGCCAAACCAGGATGGCCCTTGCTGCACTGGCTACCAGAGAGGCTGTGGGATCTTACATTGACTAGAAAGCTGAAATCCCAATCAATAGAGGAAATTTGATTTAGAGTAGAAAATATTTCTGTAAATCTGTGAAGCCTTTACTGTCTGTTTTCCGGGAGCAGAGTACCTCCCTACCTGCTGCCTGTCACACACTCACACACACTTTCCCCTGCTCCAGTCCCCAGGCAGGTGTTTTGGCAGGGAAGAACGGACCATGCAGTCATCGGTCTGTCTACTGTGCTTTTGGAGCCACAGTCTAAGCCACTGCTGGCTCCTTGCAGGCCTGATTGATATATTTGATTAAAAACAGCCTAACTTCTGTGGCTGAAGCAGATTAAAGGAGATGTTTCCCTCTCTGAGCGTGGTTTCTCCAGTTCTCTCTGACATTGCGATGAGTCACTGGGGAGAGGGCAAATGGTTGCCCTGAGAGCACCAACAAAACGTTTCTGTGTGGGACTTGGCTCATACATTTTCATAGAATGTTCCCTGAAATGTCACAGTTTGGGGAGTGTTCATATGGAGCTCAATCCCACCCCTGTTCTGAAATGGAACAACTAAGTCCCAGAGAAGTTGAAGTGAACAACAGAGTTTTTTTAATATCATAATGTGCAGCTCAGATAGCCAGGCAGTGGCTCCCAGCTCAGCCTTTCATGGACACAGCAGGAAGCCTTGAGGAGAAGCATTTGCTCCCATCAGGAACTTCTCAGTCATCCTCAGAGAAAAGTCTGTGGGCTGCACAGAAGCCTTCTGTGGTCCCACGCTCATCACGCATGAACATGCTTGTGCTCTGCTGGACTTCTCCTCTGCTCTTTCTCCTGCCTCCCTGTATCAATGTCTGCATGTTCCCAAATCATTCTTGTCCTTTTTTGTCTTTAAATTCTCTTTCGAGGGTAACTAAAGCTCTTCCTTCTATTCTTCATCTTCTCCCCTTTCCTGATTAGACAACTGTAGGCAAGGTCTCACATGCCATTGGAGCTGTGGCTGAAGTTCTTGTAAATCTGTATGTGAATGATCACAGACCCAAGGCACAGCTTGAACTGGTAAGACTAAACCCACAAAGAAACAGTAATTTGACTTAAGAGTAATGTTCTCAGAATGCCATCCTGACTTAAGACCCCAGTTGTGGAGCACTTGAAGCCTTAGGAAAGGTCTAACACTTCACAAAAGGATCAGGTGCACATTGGCACAATGTGCTGATGGAAATGTTGCTCTCCACATCTTCTATTTCTTTTACTTGGCTGTGAATTAAAACTTCAGAAGGCTTTTATTAAATGTAATTACTGTATAATTAGTAACAAAAGACAATTATTACTCAGGGTGGCTTCTAAATAAAGTTTTGTGCAGTACGTGCTTATGAAGTTATTTTTAACACTCAAGTGCTGAATCACTGTGCCTCCTTTTGAAGAGGGCTGTTTCTCAACTCTGACCTTGTTCTGTGTTGAATTCAGAAGCGGTCTCTGGACAGAGCTGCAGGTTCTTGCCCCATTCCTCACTTACCATCTGCTGCCTCCACCACTCAGGGCTGTCAGGTACTGGGAAGCCAAGTAAGGTGTTGTGTTGTGGTGATGACACTTTACTTACCAGCCAGCACTAAACTCAGTTGTTTCAGCTTCACTGTAACTACTAACACCATGGGTTTAAAAGCACATCTGTGTGGTTTTCCATTTGCATGGTTGTTTCTTTGGAAAGATTCATGCTCTAAAGTGATCCATCAGTGGTAGATCTGGAATGGAATTCTCAACTTTTCAGCAGAAGACTATGTGACAATGATAATTGTGAGTTCCGCTTAACATTAAGAAATGGTTCCAAGGCTGCCTTTTGCTCACTAATGAAAGATTAGTTGTGTGGACTGTGTGCTGCTGTCTGAGTGTGCCTTGGTCCTCCATCCATGTAGCACCTCTCCTGTTGTAGCAGGGATGGTGGAAGGGGAGGGAGGTGGTAATGGATGTGGCAGGCACAGACCCTGTACCAACCCGTAACCAACCATAATACAGTAATGCAAAGTAACATCCTCATAGCTGCCTCTAATAAGAAAAGGGAAGTCCACTGGCATCTAATAAATTTCTAGTTCACTTTTCTGTACCTTTTGTGTGTGTATGTAAGAGGGGATGAGATTCATGGCAATTAAAGAATGTTAATTACCAGCCTAATTTCAACAAACTTTCAAAAGAGTTTCACATGGTTAATATGGATTGTATCTTGAAAGTGTTAGAAATGTTCTGAATGTGTGTGGTAGGAAACAAAGTTATTTTTAAAGCTAACCAAGCCCCAGGTTGGGCTGTAGTCTCGGGAGGAACACGGCTGAGAGGGGAGGCATAGTTCTGGTGATGGGAAGGGTGGAGTGTTTGAAGACTGCTTTTCCTCCTGGACCTTAAAGCACAAGCCTGCATTTTCCTCCAGATTGTGTCTGAACTGAGAGTTTAGGGTGTTTTTTTGCTTGGCTGCAGATGCAAGTCTGCTGTTTGAGGCTGGTGAGGTGTGTCTTCACCTTCTGAGAGAGACACGAGTTCTGGAGCCAGGACGGTGCGGGGTAATGAGGGAGTACTCAGAGATGATGCTGCTCTTGGACCTGAGTAATCAAAATGTTGGTGAACTCCTAGAGGGAAACTGGATGCAAGTCCAGCATCAAAGTCTCCTCTTTAAGATCCTTGTGATGTCTGATTTATTAATTGCTGCATAAACCTTCAGAATTACAATAATGAGTAATAAAAAGCTGACTGATGCCCGACTGGAATTTTGCTTGAAGAGTGCTGTGCAACCTTTCAAGCAGTTAAAGAAGCTGCCCCATTCATAAGGATTTATATCTGGGTGTGGAGGCACAGCTCTATGTTGTTTTTTATCTTTGAACAGGGTTCTCTGCGAAAAGAATTTCCCAAGTCCATCGGGGGGAGTGACATTTGTTATTTCTGCAAGAAACGGGTCTATGTCATGGAGCGGCTGAGTGCAGAAGGCCACTTCTTTCACAGGGAGTGCTTCAAGTGTGAAATATGTTCTACAACACTCCGCTTAGGAATTTATGCCTTTGATGTTGAAGAAGGTAATATAGGAGCTATTTAGGAGTATTTTGAAATGTCTGAGTGTTGGTGCCTCTTACTGGGACTAAGGAGAAAGATCTGTCCTGGTAGCACGGTCAGGAGGAGGTCTGCCAAGTGTGCTGTTTGTGTCCCTGCTGATCTTTGAGTCCTCGTACTTGCAGTCCTAGTTTTCAAAAGAGTTGACTTATGACAGACCTGAGCTGTAAGTGAAGAAATTCTCGGTGGAAAATAAGTTGAGTGGACAAAATGCATTTTGTTGAATCACAGGTCAAAGTAAGGGGAGGAAAAAAGGGGTGAGGTTTCTCCAATAATATAGAGTTATTCTTATCTCCATTTAAACCTGGCTGTTAAGTAACATGATCTATAAGGACAAGGCATAGCACTGGCAGATTTACATGGATGCAGGGAATGTAGGTTATTTCTGTTTCAATGTTATGGTCAGGAGCTGAAAGCAGTAGGACTGGCCAAGCACAGTGTGATTTACTCCAGGCTGCTGTAGAACAAGATGTTCAGATCCTGGATGCTTCATCCCACCTAAATCCTGGGGTTTTCCTTTTTTTAATTGTTTTTTTTTATTATTTTTTTAGTTTGGAATGGAATTATCAAACTGAATTGAAATTCATTTGTCCCTCCCAAAGTATTTGAGTAGATCAGGGTATTAACCTCATATACACAAAAATATTAAAGATTCAAGGTCAAAGTGGTTCTTTTTTCAGTGTGGAGAATTTGCAAAGATGTCTTTTTGAGAAGATTACTGCCTTTTTTTTTTCTGCTTGATGTCTTGTGTTAGCTTATAACTTTGTGTTTATGGGATGTTGGTTTTTTTGCTGTTTATTAATCTTATACCTGAGAGGTAGATAAATGACCTTATGTTATTGAACTAATGTGCAAATCTGTAAAAGAAATCTATTCATAGCTGTTTGTCAGAATCAGTGCCAGGTTTCCCATTCCTTTTGCTGCCCAGCTGCTCATCATCCTGGTTTCATTTTTTTTTATAAATGCAACAGTGTTTTTAAAGTCCATATATATATAGATAACATATCCTTTTTAAAGTCCATATATATATAGATAACATCCTGTAACTGATTTTTCCCTCTTGTAGGTAAATTTTACTGTAAACCTCATTTTACGCACTGCAGAATCAGTACAAAACACAGAAAGAGAAGAGCATCAATACAGATCCATGGAAAGGTATGGAGTGATTATATTGCCAATGCAATCTTGGGGCAGGGTGAAATACTTGTGTGTGTGTGGATGTTTTCTACCTCATGTGCAGTAAAATCAGTGCTAAAATACAAATCTTCTCATTCTGTGAGTTAGGCATATCTAATAATAATCTGAATCTCAACGGATTACCTTTTCTATGCAAAGTAAAGTTGAACTTAAGAGCAACTAGAAATGAAAATGCATATAAAGACTTGAAGGCAGTATCAGAAACGGGACTTACCTACTTTAGAGACATATTTAACACTTTTTATTTTTTAATGCTTTTTCTAAGGAGGCAATAGACGCGTGGAAGAAAGTGGAAGCCAAACACTCAGAGATCACCACAGAAAGCAGTTTGTCCACTGCTAGCAGTCCAGAGGACAGGTCCCCAGGTATCCTGACTTCCTTCTTACGGGGCACGCTAAGCTGGCCCCTGCGGGTGACCAGGGATCTGCTTGACATTCCCAGCCGCCTGTCTAACTGGATGCATGGTTTCCTGCACGCTACCCACCTCCATTTCAGGGACAATGCACATAACTATACCTACCTGTACGAACTCCTGAGCCTTGGGGTGCCATTCCTCTCTGCTCTCCTAGAGGTACTCATTCACATGTACCAGGAAGCAGGCCTATCACTTGAAAATGTGCTTGAATGGGTGAAAAGATTCTGTAGGGTTTGAATCCTTCTTTGTGTCTTGCTCAGTTGTGCCTTTCCAGTTTTCAAAATTAACAGTCTGGCTGTTTTTTTCTCGAGGGGAATTTTTGGTTTGGAGGGCCTTGTTTTTGCTCTTTGTGCAATTTGACACATGACTTCGTTGAATGGTGGATTCCTTCTGATAGAAGCGAGGTACAAGTGAATTTTTCAACATAAAATGTACTGTATGTTAGAGCATGAAGGACAGTGTCCAAACACATTTCCAGAACATGGAGTCAGATGAAGGATATTTAATAGATTATTTCCCCCCCGCCATTTTATTCTGTGATCAGACCACTGGAGAAGATGGTGCATTTTGAAACCATTTTTCTTCCTATTCTCCCCAGCCTTTTTTTTCTTTTTTCAGTTAGACCATGAAAGCATGTGTGTTCTTTCAGGAATATTTCTGACAAATGACTGGGGTTTGAAACCTGAGTATGGCACATAGCTTTTTTCAGTTTTCTTGCTTTCATCTTTGCTCTAGGTTATGAGATTTTTACTTGCATGAATATGTTTCAAAAAAATCGTGTACATAATTCACATTGCTCCTAGTAATGTCTTTTACATTGCTTTACATGTGATGGATACCTTTTGTTGATAGTGGGTATTATCTGTTCTACTAATTTATTTGAAGTTTTTCAATAAATTTGAAGAGCAAATGATAGTTGAATGAAGGCTTGATTGAAATTTTAAGTCAAAGAAACTGGTAGAAAAAGTAGACCGAATATTCCTCAAGTCAGGGCTTCCTCATTTGGTGACTGATATGAGGCATACCAATTTATGGAGCACTCCTTTGTAACTGAAGTCACTCCAGTTGTGCTTCTGGGCAGGCACTACTCCCAGTCTCTTTTGGAATTTTTAAAAAATGCAGGTTTAGAACAAATATCAAAAGCCTAGAAATGTATTCTTAGGCAGTAACTTTTTACTTGGGTAATTCATTTCAACGTGTGCAGCTGGTGGCAGAAAGGTGAAATTCTATTCTCTGGAGCAGCAGATGAGTAAATTTCTTTCAGATATCCTTCAACCTTTATCAGAAGGTCTACCTTAATCTGTTAAGCACCAAGGACACAGTGACATACCAATGCTCATTACTTTCAGCCTAGTTAGCCAGCGAGGTAAGCGTGCTCCCTGCCTTTCAAATACTTATTTATATTGAGTTTACCAGGAAATAGGCAAATCCTTAAACATGGCAATACGTGCAGTCTAAAATGAGAAGCATCTGTAGCATTTATCTGTAGCCAGAAGAATGTGGCATAAACAATAGGAAATACTGTTGCATTCATTTAGTACCAAAATTGAGGATCACCTGCCAGTGGTCTCAAATGACTGTGCTTCCTATGGGCTGGCAGGTCTTGGGGTTTGCTGTTTTGATTTGATTTGATTTAATATAATGGGGGAAAAGGTGATTTGAACTGTTTTGCTTCTTAGGTATGAGAAGGAAATGTGTCTGCTGTTTAAAATAAATTACAAACTGGATCTTTCTTCTAGATAGTTTGACTTTCTTTAAACTATGAGGATGAGTTTTTCACATTTTAGAGTGGTTATGTATTTTGGGGAAAAAAAATTGTTATTTTTATGCACAAAACTTGAAAAAGTGCTTGAAGAAAATTGTTAGATATGAGGTAGCATTCCTTTGACATAAATTGCCTTTAATGCGAAAAATGTATTCAGCCAAACTTTGCTAGACATTGAGTGGACACAGCAATAATTACAGTTACATGGTGGCAATCTGTGCATATGTAATATATCGGTACCTTTCTTGCAGCATTTAAAAAAACCTAGCTTGGAAACACTGTACTATTTTTAATTATTTTCTAAGCATAGTAACTGTTTCACCCTAAAAAGGAGGCAGTCTGCAGTGTGGTTACTCTTGCAACACAGCAAACTGCTGGGTAGTCAGGTTTCCAGATTAGGGCTGCCATCAATTTTAGTTTCAGTTTGTCAATAGTAAAATCTTTAGGAACACTTCTGCCTAATGTTTTCTCCTGCTCTTTACTATGGCAGAGCAAGCATAATGGTAAATGTAGAGAAAATGGTGATGTAGTAAGAAACTTGCAAATCTCTGATCAATGAAATTAAACCAAATGAATCTTACTAGCAGAAAGTGTAAAAACAAGATTTTTAAATCTTTAAATAAGATTTTTAAAAAGAAATTTAAATTAAAAATTTGAATTTAAACATTTAAAATATGGTATTGGTTTTATATAGATTTGTATAATGGCCCATAAATCACTACATTTCCACAACAAAATTCAGGAACTTGCATAATGAAAATGTTTTCCTGAGGAATCTTAATTACCATGCATATTCCACTGGGATTTCGCAGGTAATTCTGTTGGGAGAATTATTTTATTGGTATCACTCCAATTGGTTGATTTTTTGATTTCATTTTGCTGTTCTGCTAGTAATGCTCATACCTGCTTGTCCTCATTGATAATTGAATGAAAAAAAGGCAGTTTCATTTTGGCCAGTTATTCTTTGTACCGATGTAATCTTCCTGATGCTTTCCTACATAACCAAGTGAAGTTCTGTGTTTTCTTCCCTGCTGTCTTCTCTGCCAATCTCCCTCATTGCTTTTAGTCCAATTCAACATTCCGGTGCTGCACCCGCTCACTGGCTGAAGCCTTTCTGCTCTCAGGTGATTTTTTTTCCAGTTCCAAAATTGCACGACTAACCCTGTTGTTTGAAAGCATTTCATTGTGTGTTTTGTTTTTATTTTTTTAACTGTTGGAGCAATCTGTGTGTCTGGTATATTAATGGAGCTTTGGCATGATGATTTAACCTGTTGCTGAGTTCACAGTTCTAGAAAAGGTAATGTTTTTCTCTCTCTGTCCATGCATGTGTGCCTCCCTGTGCCTTTAAGGTAAGTTAGGCAAGTAAAGGGTTTCTTGAAAGAACTTGTTAAAGCCTTCTTTCAAGAACTAAAGGAAAGATTTAAAATAAGGAAAGAAATATCTGATTTTCCAGGTTAACATGAGCACCTATTTGCATCAAGCTCACACACCCAATGAACAAGCAGTGTCCCTGCTTTCCTACTGGAAAAGTGTGGTATAAAAGGTTCTATAAACAAAATAATCAAAATACTGCAAGTTCTAGTCTTCCACCCCAAGTGACATCGTAGGCAGGCCTAAAAGTGCATGTGGTTCTCTGTCAACATGCCAGGCTCCAGAGGGCTTTGGTGTGAGTGGTTTTATTACCTGGGCCTTGCTTGGCACTCTGATGATTTGGTTTCTGTTGCTGCATGAGATGTTGCCACCCCTCTCCCACCATTATTTTGGATGTTTTTTTACATAAGGTCCAGTTTGTATAATCACCAGTCTAGAAAGGGAAATGAATCCCAGCAAGAACCAAGGGCTCAGGCTGACCAGCAAGTACACTGAGGGTCTGGCTGAGGACCCCTCTCAAAGGGAAGGGCCTTTGGGGATTGATCTTAGGAGGGGCCAAACATCCTCTGCCATCTTCCCTATTTCACATGCCTCAGGCAGGAACATGGAAGGCAGCAGGGCCAGAGCCCCAGGCTCCTTATCTTGCTGGTCTGTACATTTGCACGACTCAGCCAGTTGTATTTATTGATGTGGGTATCCTAAAGTGACTTGATGGCTCTGAAAGTCCCCACACTGTGCCCACACAGAATCTCTCAGTGTTTCAAACGTCATTTCCTGCACAAATGGCTGGGATGTGACTCCTAGTGTATTTCAGGGCTGCAGTGTGTTGTTATAAAGCTCAGCATGCTTTAATATGAAGGTCATGACATAAAGGTCTGCCATTTCAAATCACTTCCTATTGCTGTGTTTTTTACTCTCTGTTGCAGAGTTTTCCTTGCTCTTCCTGCCCAATGAGGATTCTGTCCTTCTCCTCCTAAATCTTCTGTCTTCCTTTTACTTTATATTCTTAACTGAATATTTGTTATTAAATATTAACTCTGTATTTAAATTTTCACATGGAAATTCTGTATTTTGCACATAGTGAAAAAAAAATTGTTATAGCTTTATTTATGATATCTGCTGTAAAAAAAAAAATAAATGTAGTTCTTTATAAGTCTCCTTGTTTCATCTCTTCCTTTTATAAAAAGTTTCCTGGGTACAGAGACTTAGTAGTGACTTCACACTGGTTTTGCACCTTCCTCTTGTGGTGGATGCTGTGGTGTTACCCTGCTTGTGGCCTGAGCAGAGGCCTGAGAGTTTCACTGTGGTGGTGTCATTGCATGTGTGTCCCTTGTGATGCACATCAAGGTCCCCGAGGAATTTTCCCCTCGCTGCAGATCCAGGGTGACTGGTGCTGGGATTTACCCTTGCTGGGGATGAGGAGCTGGTGTTGGTGGGCATGGGGCACACACAAACAGCATTGTCCTCCTCTCTTTGGCCTCTGCTACCTTTCCTTACACTGTTATTTTACATATTAACATATGTCATAAAGGTAATAAGTTAATGTGTTTGGTTTTTTTGTTGTGTTCAGGAAAAGCAGGTAATAACCCAGGATAAATCTTTACCTTTGCTACTTGCTCTGGAGTGCTCTTCCCAGTACCTGCTGGACCCCTGGAAGCTGATGCTGGTGGTGACCCATTGCCTGTTAACAGTTGCCTTGCTTTATTTATTGTTTAAAATTTTATTTTAATTTTTGTATTTTAAGCTGCTGGTGGAATTCTTTTTAAATAGCAGATTCTCCAAAAGAGCTTTCTTAAGTCTTCCTCCCCTTCATTTTCTTTCTTTTGCTTACTCTGCAATTCTTAAGTATAATCTCTTCCTTTGCATTTTCAGGAAAAAAAAAAAAAATAAAACAACAAATCCTAGAAAGAATAGTGCCAAGAGTTTAATGGAAAGATTGTGTGATTTTATTTTTTTTTTAATGAATTAAAACTGAACCTCTCTGGGGTTGTCTGAATGACAGAAATTATTTTTTTTTCAAATTGTTTTTGCTAAAGACAACATCATTGCCAAAGAAGAACAAATGTTATTCTCAATTAACTATTACATCTTCCCTGCCAAAGGAAAAACCACCAGGCACAGTTAAAAGTTTGCTGTCTGAGAGGTAGATGATATCCATTATGAAAACATGGGCAACAAATACCACTGAGGACAATACTTGGCACTTAATTGTAACAGACAAATCAATTGGGTAAAACTGAATTTAATCTTTGCACAGTTTTCAGTTTTATGCTAAGGCAGTGGCACGGAAACATCAGAAGAGTATTTTTGCCTGCAGAAGGTGATTATTTGTTTGGCACTGAAGTGTTGAGAGGCATCAGATGTACATGCTGTTCTCATAAAGTTTCACTCATTCCTGCTAAAATATCAGTGCAATATTGGAATTGGGGTACCATGAGAGTCTGGATTTAGTTCTCCCAGAGATGCAGAAGGCCCAAGCAGTCACATTACTAGCCAGTCCTGTCAGCAGAGGGACGTACCTCACAGCAGGCAGCCCATGCACTCGTGGACAAGGCAGGACACGGTGTATGGATAAGAAAAAGACAAAATGCTCAGCGTGAGAGGAGGAAGTTTGTGTTGGTTTCCTCACTCTTGGCCAAAATTATTACACAATAAAACCACACGTTCCAATTTTGCTGCTGAAGGGAGAGCCTGGTGGGGTTAAGGTCTGTGTGAATGTAACCAGCTCGTTGGAACTCCTTATCGTGCCATGTGAGCAGAGCTGCCTGTGAGCAGGAGACCTGGATCTTCCTCTTGCTCTGCTCTGGAGTTCTCCCAGCCCCACGGCTGCCAGCAGTGCCCCAAAAAGCTGGGATGCTGTGTCCCTTTGCAGAGCTGCAGTTGTTTAAATGAGAGGCAGGCAGGCTGCTTCCCTCTGGGCTCGCCCTGTCCTGGGTGCCTCCCCAAAATCCGTGATTTAGGAGCAGGGGACATCAATGCCTCTTTGCACAGGTGATGCCCTCTAAGACCTGGTGTCACAGATGCCATTACAGCATGAAAAGGGCAGGCTCAGGAACTGCTCTGTCTTTCCTCCTCTTCACACTGCTTCAAATGGCTTCTGAGATTGTCTGTTGCCACTAGGGCCATTTGGATTGAAAATAAGTACAGAGATGTGCCTATTTTCTTTATTAAATTTTGGAAAAACCAGGCTAACCTTTCATTCTCAAAGCCAGGCAGCATTAACTGCCTAGGTGTCTGTTAATGAAAATCAAACATGTTAGGATTCACTAAAGGTAACCCACCTTTATTATAATTATGCTAAGCCTTTAAAACCTGCAAGATCTTTTTAATTTTAAACATACTTGATTTGAATAGAAGAATACAGACAAAACATCTTAAAATTGATCAAATTCAAATACCAGCCTTTCATTAACTCTACTCAGAAGAGTAATTTATGTTCCTCTGAGTTTCTTCTAAATTGCTACAGCTGTAAAATGCCAGTGAAAGTTATTTCTGCTTGTCTTCCAACCTCAAGCAATGACTATGATCTGCATTTTTCCACAGCATTATGGCAATTAGTTACTATAATTGGCTTTAATTCACTTCTGGCTCACTCATTCCTCACATTCCAATCAAAACAATGAGTTTTGAAATACATTGAGTTCTGCGTTAATATTTATGTTTTCGAAGACATGACGTGTTTGCAGATGATTTGATTTTTTTTGCCTGAAAGATCATGTCACTGAAGATAAGAAGACATATTAATGCCTGATGCATATGTATTACTCATGTAAATATTTCCCCAATTCTCTTCCCTTTTCTTCATGGACTATGCTCACATAAAAAGAAGGGAGGCTTTAATCTCATCAGGTGGTGGGCTCCAAACTTGTTTGAAATGAATGGAATTTCTGAAATGTTTTTGTGAAATGGTGACATTTCCATATTGCTACAGTATTGAATTTTCCCTTTCAGCACTTGTTCTGCAGGTATTCATTCATTCACCTCTTTGTTTTAAGGCTTTTGGTGCTTTGAATCTGTGTCCAAAAATACTATTTTGACGGACACTGGAAACTGAAAGTGTTGTTGCTGCACTCCAAATTCAAAATTAATTCATGCCTTAATATACCAGACTAACACAGATTGCTCTAATTAAATATATATTTACTCTCAAATGATAGAAATAGTGTGGTATCATAGCAGGTTTTCTTTGAGAACCAATTTTTCCTAAAGACACATATTCAGTAGATCTAATAAGTTTCCTCTAAGTTTCTTTTTTTTCTCCTTTGTTAATTTTTGTTCAGGTTGTATTAGTACATAAATGTGCACTGTCTCCTCAGATGCATTAAAAAAATCACAGGAGTCTCTGACTGGCTTTGAGAGCTTCAAATTCAGTAGTTATATTTTGTGCCAGAATTCAGAAGTGTTTGTTTACAAAGTAGGTGATGGGCACTTGGGAGAAGTGTTTTGCTGCTGAAGAACTTGTACAGGTGCTGGCATGGGCCCACAGGAGAGTGGCAGGAGATGGTCTCCTGGCACAGGGGCAGGAGAAGGGGGCTCATCCCTGCATCAGGGATGGAGAAGAGGTGGCAGGAAAGCCTCTGTAGGCAGTGATGGTTGAAAGCCAGGCAGATGATCTGGTCCTGCTGCCCCAAGAAGCTCAGTGCCACCCCATGGATAACGGGGGCAGCAGTTCCCCTTCATCTTTACCACATGTTAGCCACAACAAAGTGGAAATTGCTTCTGTTAGAAGTGTGAGGAGAAAGAAAGGGAGATGTGGCAAGAACTGAAATCTGCGGAATGTCAGCTGTCATACCTTTTGTAGGAATCCATTTCCAGGGGCAAAAACCTGCCTGGTGGTATCTCAGGTGAGATGAAAAGTTGGAGCTGGGTCAGGGCATCAGTTTGGGAATGCTGCTGGAAGCCTGACAGCCTCCTAAGGCGGATCTGTGGGAAACCCCAGCGGGATGTCTTCATTCATATCCCTGCTCTGATACAGGCAGTGCTCCCATGCAGCTTTTTGTGTTTTCAGCTCAGGCTGCAGGATGCAGCTGAAGCTCTGACAGCTCTGAGCTTGGGTTTCACTTGTGTGAGCTACTGAGCCCTGTATTTCAGCAGCACCAAGGTCGAACCAAGCTGGAGGTGTTTCCCCATTCCCTCTTCCAGTTGCACACAGTCTGTGCTTTCCTGGCCAGTGCTTTCTGCTCAGGATCTTGCCCCTGAGCTCACTGGGCTCATTTCAGCTGTGCTTGCGCAGCTTAGTGTTAGCACAGCTTTCCTGGAGCGCTGCTGTTTCGTAAGCTGGGCTCAGATTGGTTTTTTTCCTTTATTGCACACTAAGAAGTCAGGCAGTAAAGCGGGCTGGGTGTGCTACACATCAATTTGTGGGCTGCTGACTGAGTTTCCTAATGCTGGTTTGTGATGCCAGCAGGTGTTTGCTTTCACCATCAGAGCTGCCCACGTGTGTGAGTAACTCCACTTTAGAGCTGCCCACTGCTGCCAGTGCCCGAGTCAGCAGCTCCATACAAGGCCAGGCAGGGCGCACTTGTCCTGTGGATGAGGGATGAGGTGACACAGTGTGATGGCAGGCCAAGAGCCTGGGGATTGCCAGCTGGGAGTGCAGGTTGGAGCCCTGCACGGGGCACTGTGCTGTGTCCAGCCCTGTGCCAGCCCTGGGTGCCAGGCACCCACACCCTGCTGACCAGAGGAGCACTCTGGATTTGGGTGGGACCTTTCACCTGAGCACCACCCCGTGCCAGTCCTGAGCGGCTGGGGCTGTTCTGGGTAAGTGCTGTTGTACTGTTCCTGCTTCACAGCCCTCAGCATGGCAAAACATCACATCCCCACTGCAGGTTGGGACAACTAATTGTAGGAGCTTTCATTCTTCCTGCCTATCCCCCAAAGGAATTGTTCCTTGTGTGCTTTTCTGTAGCTATGGAGCAGGGGTGGAGCTGTCTGCCCTCAGGGTAGGGTCTCCTTTCACTGCCAGCAGCAAGGAGGGATAATTTCTTGTCCCTCTGATGGCCCTGCTGGGGCATGTCCACCTGGTCAGCCACCAGACCTTGTGTTTGGTGTGTGGGGACCCCCCAGCCTGAGCAGATCAGGAGTTCTTGGAGGTTTTTTTCTGGACCACCCTCCCCACAAATACTTTGTTCCTGACTGCCAGTATCTTGAGTGTGTTGTAGGCCAAAGAGGAAAGGTAGATATAATTTTAAAAGTTGTTGTTTCCTGGCTCTGTTCATGCTTTTCATCTGCCTTCAGGGGTGTTCTCTGAGCTTGTGTGAGTTTTCATACTTTGGTTGACTTGGCAAGGTTCGCTCCCCCTTTCTTTCTTATGTGGGGCTCCTGTTTGGTCTGACTCACTTTAGCCAAGAAATCCCACAGGATTTGCTTAAAATTTAATCCCCCTCACATGACTTAATACCAGCTAAAGAGGAGGAGGGAGGAGAAATGTGAACACTTCTGACTGTTTGTGGCCCAGCAGCGTCCACTTGATGGGGAGCTGGCTGCAGCTGCTTTGGTTGGGGATTTTCAGTGGAGCATCTTTGACCATTTTTGTCCATGTGGGGAGAAGCCAGTCCTGAGAGGAGCTGATCAAAGCCAGCTGCCCTGGGCCAGCTGGTGTCAGAGCTGCTGCACAGTGCTGCTGGTGGGGAGGGGAATGGTTTTTGGCAGAGCCTTTGTGCCACTGTGGGCAGCACGTGCTCTGCCTGAGGTGGGGAGGAAGCGGCTGACCCGGTCCAGCTGCCCCAGCAGGAGCTTGGCTCTGCCCGAAGCTGGCGGCTTCCCAAGGCCTTGTCACCTCCGTGCCAGGTCACAGCAGTGTGATCTGGCTTGGCAGATGAGTCAGGAGCAGCAGCAGCCCGGCTGGAGTCAGGCTGCCTCGTGGGGCAGCACTTGCAGCACCAGCAGCATCTCCTGCTCGTGCCTGGGGCTGGGGGCACTCAGATGCTGCAGTAGCCAATGCTGTATAAATCAGAGAAGGTGTCCCGGGTGGGTAGGGCTAACCCCCTTTGGAAAGGGCTGTTCTTTGTCACTGGCACACTGCTGGGCACGTTTCTGAAGTGGAGCCGTGCCAGAGACTCCCGGGGTGTTTCCATCAGCTCAGCAAAACCCATTGTAACCTCACCTCTGAGCATGGTGTCATTGCAGACTTTCAGCTGTAAGAATATCCATGGAGCTCGGGTCTGGAACAGGCAGCACAATACAGACAACAAAGATCCCTCCACTGCTGTGCTGCATTGTCAGCTTTGCCCTCATGCCCGAGGAAGAAAGGCAACCCAAAGTATTAGCAAAACCTCTTGAGATCCCAGAGTCCCTGATCCCACATCCCAGGAGATTGCTCTGTTCTTGTTTCTGGACCTTGGGATGACTTTGGCTCTCCAAATGGGTTGATCCAAGGCACAGTTTTGGAAGAATTTCCATTAGAAGAGGCAGTAAGTGTGGGGACATCAGGTTTCACTGCCATGTGCCTGCCTTGGGCACAGAGCCTTTGTAGGACAGTGATGCTGCATGAAGGCCCTATTAGATGCTGAAATGCATCCAGACTAAATTTGCTACTACAAAAAGTCATTTAAAAAAAAGAAAAAAGGTAAAAATGCCTTTTGGAATATGTTGGATTGTCACTCTGTAAGCAATGTGAATTTTACAAGCCTGTCATTGAGAGAATCAGGGTTACACTGAGCTTTGAGCGAGCAGAAGAGCCGTGCTGAATTTGCCTGCTTTTGGTTAGCAAGACAATGCCTTGAGCCTGTGAGCTTCCTGAAGGGCTCAGCCAGGGAAAGCATCTCCAGAGAGATGGAGGGAAAGGTCTTTTATGATGTCCTTGTCCCTCACTGCTGTATCTCTGACTAATTAGATGCCTGGTGCAGACATTTCTGTCTCAAATGCAAAGGTGAGCTGGCACAAGATTGAATTGGAACACTTGAAGATTGAATGAAAACACTTGACATGACACTCAGTGGAGAGAAAAATGATGTTTTAAAGGAAAGGGGTTTGTATCTGTACCTGTCCTTGAGGTCTGCAGGGGCTCTTTGGCCAAGCCCATAGATTGGAGTGAGTTTTGACCAGCCCTGACCTCTGGGTGAGAGCCAACCCAGGTACAAGCCCTGCAAGCTGAAGCCTTAGGAATACTTCTCATTTACCACAGGGCTTAGCTGGATCCTTGCCTTGTAAGGAAAACAGTTGTTTCTCTGTCCATGTGAGGAGGGCGAGGTGAATTTTGAAATGCAGACAAAGGAGAAATTGTTTTTATCCATATTTTTCATCGTGTTTGAGTGGGAAGGCCAGATGAATATGTGATTGTTCTGTTCAAATCACTGGCTGTGTTGCTGCTGTTAAGTAGCTGAAGGCAGCTAAGCTTCACTGCTTGCTAAAAAAAAATTTAAAACCCCAATCACCAAACAAGCAAGCAAACAAACAAAAAGCTCCCCCACAAACTCTAAAGTCATGTCCTTTGCTCTAAATGCAAGTCAGTCAAAGACTGGGGCAGGGTTATGGATGAGAAGGGTCGTCATATGTGAGTGACAGCAGCGTAAGGAGGATGTTAACAACAGCTGAAGGAATGGAAAACATAAATTCCTTTAATCCTACCAGCAAGTTGGAGCTGTGTACATGCAGACCCTAAAGCAGCATGAGCACCCCAAGCTATGCTGGCTGCAGGACCTGCAGCTCCTGACCAAGCAGAGCCTGAGGGCCCTGCACCCAACAGCCCCAAAGCACAGGCAGGATTTGGGAATCAGCACACTGGCTCCTTGGCTGGCTCGGGGAGCTCCAGCAGCCACAAAGGGCACAGCACTTGCTGCCAGCACGTTTCCACTGAAAGCACTGCTGAGGGACTCTGGTGGCGTGTGCTGGTGTGACAGACCTGCTCTGACTGTGACACAGCACTGACATCTTCTCACTCATGGCATGTCCATGCTCCTCCAGCCCCCCTGGGGGTCAATTGAATGTTTTGGCCAAGGATTAGTATGGCCAGTGGAGCAGGCAAATTCCCTGCTGGAAGTCTTTATCGTGCTGAGGCACAGGAAGCAGGGAATGTGGAGTGAGCAGGATGGAAATGAAACTTACTTCATTTCCATGGTGCTCACTCCACGTTTCCTACCTCACACAAATGCTATTTGGAGGCACTGTTTCCTGAGGACTGGTGTTTCCTCTGCTAAGAGCCCTTGCTGCCACGCAGAGCTCAGTGGCATGGCACCACTTCACACAGGCAGGGAACAGGGCTGTGCCTTTTCCATCCTGCACGTGGGATACCTCTGCAGCTTTAACTTTTCATAAAGCTCACTTACTCTGGCTCAGTCTCTTGGCTTCTAGTCAAAAAATCTCCTGTCCTGGGGAGGAAATGATTAGGGTGCTGGAGCATCCCTCTCATGAGGACAGGCTGAGAGATTTGGGCCTTGAGAACAGATGACTGACAGGGGACCTCATCAAAGTCTACCAGTATCTGAAGGGAGGGTGAAAAGAGGGCAGAGGCAGGCTCTGCTCAGTGGTGCTGAGCACTAGGACAAGAGGCAATGAACAGAAATTGGTGCACAGGAGGTTCTGCCTGAACATGAGGAAGAACTTCTTTGCTGTGCAGTGGCTGTGCAGAGGAGCATGTTGCCCAGGGAAGGTGTGGGGTTTCCTTCACTGGAGATACTCAAGAGCCAAGCACAGAGTTAGGAAAGGATTCAAGCAGCAGCAGCCTGAAGTCCTTCACTAGCATTCTGAGGTCCTGGCAGTCTTAACCTGCACTATGATGGGAATCAGAGAACTGATTCCCTGGTTTCCACCCTGAAGTCAGAATTCTAGAAAATCAGGGTCCTCCTGCTGAGCCTTGCTGTGCTGACATCTCACTGAGCACCTTGCTGGTGCTGCAAGGATGGGTGGCTGTTCAGGATTCAGGGAGAGCTGTGAGGCTGGAAATTTCTGAATCACCTACTTCTAATTTAGCCTAACGTCTGTCCAGGAGCATAAACACGTGCATCTCCCTTATGTAAGTACTCAACCTTTGGGCCGATTCATCCAAAATTAGTTCACATGGCCCTTCTTCTCTACTTGCACAAAATAAGAGCTGTAAAGAGGTCCCGGATTTCTTTTTGAATGCTTTGTTTGTATCAGAACATAACTTCTCATTTTGGATCCTCCTCAAACACGAGCAGCAGCACTGGCCTGCGGCACAGTCGCAGTGGTGGCTGGCTGGATGTGTTTGCACTGCTATGGGAGAGCAGGTGATGACTGCCAGGTGGGATCCAGGCCTGTGCAGCTCTGGGATTTTGTTTGGATTGGCCACACTCTCCCCCCACAGTGCTTACTTGAGGCTGGCAGCAGCACATCCCTGCTGCCTGAACTCGTTCCGGACCCATGTTGTCCTCAGGGATTGAAAACTCTCCTGCTTCTTAGGAGGGAACACTCTCAAAGCCTACAAAAAATCCCAATGATGTGGGAAATCTCTGCTTTCTGTTTGAGCCTGTTAGCCCTGAGATGAGGGACAGAGGTTCTAGCATTAAACTTTCCAAATACCCTGCAGAATGTGTAAGCCAGTGTAGGAGTTAATGTGGGGGTCCCATGCACTGAAACACCAAGATGGCCCAGTCTCTGCTTTTATGGAGCTGAGTGCAACATAATTTATTCAATTTATATGTCTCACTAAAATACTGATAAAATATGTTAGTAAGGAGTGGGTTTACTTTCAAATCCTAGAGTGGTTTGGGTGGGAAGGCACCTACAGAGGACTGGTCCAACCCCCATGCCATGAGCTGAGGTGCTGGGCTTGGACCTGGTTGGTATCAATGTAATGTATGTAAATGTATGAATGTAAACTTAACCTGCTCAGAAAGGACTTTGCAACTTTAACAGCCTTCTGAGAGCATCAGCTCCTGGGTGCAGAGTTCAAGAAGGGGAGAGACTGTGATGCCAGAAAAAAATGTACAAAAAATACCCAAAAAACAAGAAGAATGCCATAGAAAAAAAGCAAGCACAGAAGTTTATCTCTTCAGAGAGGTAATAGTGCCATCCATCACTGTCATCTGTTTTCCTGGATGGCACCCTGAGGTCCTTCACCAGCTCTATTATGTGTCCCTAATGGTTGGAAACTTGGATGTGCAGCAAGCTATTTCAGGGGGACGTGTTGACTGGAAATGTGTTCACATTCAGGAACCATGGGAATCACTGTAGGTAGTCTGTCTGTCTGTCTGTCTGTCTGTCTGTCTGTGGGTTTTGATGGTCTCCAGCTGTGTGTCTGTTAGTCATAAAGATGTTTTTTCCTCTTTCCTGCTAGCGTGGCAGGGAAAGCATAGTGAGTAGGGTAGGAAGGAACATACTAAATGTTCAAGCCAATGGCAAAACTGACTTTCTTTAGCAGCCACTTGAAGTGACCTTGGGCGGTGTTTATTGCCAGCATGGCTACAGAATTTATAGAAAGAGTTGCCTAACTATTATTTGCCTTTGCTTGCTCTGATTTTCATGTAAAATGCACCATCTTTTAAGGAAAAAGTTGCCTTGAAGGATTTGGAGTTTACAAATTGGCTCAAAACACTGATTTTTACTTAGCTGCTGGAGCCCACAGCATCCTTGGGTAGGTGGCCTGGTTGGGCCAAACTAGAAGTCAAACATAAAAATCAGAGAGGTGTGAATTTCTTCCCATCTCCCAGAGGAAACGAAACCTCTGCAGCCAAGAAACATGTGGCTGCTGTGGTGCTACTAAGCTGGATGTAGGGCCTGAACACGTTCAAGGTAAAAACTCCTGCAAGGAGAAGGATGGGGTGAGTGCACTCCTGCAATAAATGGAGGCACTGCAAGTTAAATAGGAGTTTAATTGATGTTAAATAGATGGCTTGCTCCAGCAGATTAGAAAATAAGCCATGTCCCAAGTTTGGTATTTTTCTCCCAGTTACACAGGTGTAAATTAGAAGCACCGGTGTTGAATTGGATACAGTAAAAGCACCATGCATGGGCAGTGAACCAAGCATAGCCACTCTCCTGGAGCTTGTCCTTTCTCCCTTCTGCACCCAGCCCCAGGGAACTTTGCAGCTGAAATGTTTGTATCTGCTTGAGTGGGAGATTGTGGGTACATAAGGTTGCTCAGAAATGAAGGATTTCACAGGGTGAAATGATCTCCTGTCTTAATCACTTGGGGTGAGCAAGGTTTTGTTCTTTATTCCCCTTGCCTGAATGTGAAGTCCAGGGACAGCGCTGTTCAACTGCTGGGATGCTGCTTCTTTTCACAAACCAGGGTCTGTATTCACTGTACCCAATCAAAAATAACCTGAAAGCTCTGTGTTTATTTTGCTCACTCCTGCTGTCCTAAACTGACCTAGACTTGCAGCGTGAGGCCACCCAAGCAAGGCTGGTTCATCTGCCTCCTGCCACACACACAGGTGCATAAGGAAAAGAGCCCATAAATCCCTACTTGTGTGGCTGGCAGGTGTGGCACTGCTGCCACCAGGCACCAGGCTGATGTCCATCCCACTGAGCAGCTGCAAAAGCTGAGGCTGCTCCTGGAGGTTCCTTCTTTCTGGATCCAAGCTGAGGAGCCCTGACAGGGCTGTACTGGGCTGGAGGGGTGTTTTTGCTATGCCAGGCTGTGGGAACCCCAGCCTTACTCTGGGGTCCCATGTGGTGGTGAAATTCCTCCTCCATCCCGTGCTTCCAAAGAAAAACAGTGCAGGCTCTTGTTGTTCGGTCTCAAGGCAGTTTATTGTGAGTTATCTAAAAGATTGTCTTCTTGGGCTGCGGCTGCTTGGTCAGCGGCCTGGGTAGAGGCACACACACACCCTGACATCCTCTCTGTCTGCTGTCTTCTTCTCTCTCCTCGCCCAGGGCTGCTGCTATCTTTTATATGATATATTACGTATTACATGTTTATAGTTTTCCCCCAATACCTACTACCTATATCACAAAGTGCTTTTCTACTCTAAACCAATCTTTGAGTGCCAACATCACCAAGAACATGGAGGCAAGGAAGAAGAAGGAGGAAGAACAGGATCAGCCCACTTTCCTCCATCTTAGAATTTCTGACCCCCATGTACAAAGTAAAAACTCCCCTGTACAAGTGTTAACCCCCCCCCCCCCGTACAATACTAAAAAAATTTCCCCTCTGTTTTATAACTACTTTTACTGTACTATCTAACCCTTTGTGACTGCTTGTTCCACCTTCAAAGTTGGTAACTCATTCCATGGCTCAAACTCAAAATCACAGCTGTTTCCAGCTGCCTGCCAGGGTCTAAAATGCTTCTGGACCAAGGCCTGGAACCTCTAAAAATGTCTGAGAGACATTTTGAGTTCCAACACCAGGCTGTCCGTGCGCACACCTTGCCTGTGCTTTGGGGACAGTGCAGGACCCCCAGGGAGAAACCCCCTCAGCCAAGGACCACTCAAGCACAGGGGTGAGGTGCCCCGTGACTCCCTCCTCCCCTAACAGCCTGCTGTCACCTTTGTGCCTTCACAGGCTGCTGCCTGCCTGTGGCTGACGAGCCCACCTCCCCCAAGAAGGCGAGGAGCATCCCTGCACACCAGGAGCTGGAGCACTGGTTCTCACCCCCGTCCCCCGAGTGGGCCATCGTGAGGGTCATCCCCGAGGAGGAGATGGCTGAGCACAACCTCCTCGCTGTTCGGGTCATGGTCACCAGTGATGCTAGCAGGTACCTTAAAATACAAGTAAACCTGTAAGAGCACTTTGGTTTTCTCTGGAACGCTGAAGAAAATCGTAACAAAATATAGTATGTACAGCTAGGGGGACTGGGAGAAAAGAACCAAACAAAAAAAAACCACAAATGCTCAGAATAACAATTGTTCTTAGCCACAGCCATAAATCCCCACAAGGCACATGAATCACTTTGCAGGAAATGTTCAAACATTCCCATCCCACACAGGGGCCAGAACCAGAGGGATAAACGTTGCAGTGATCAGCTTGGGTTCAGCTTTTGGAATGGACAGTTTTTGTTACACAGGGATTTGGGCAATGGGTGTGTTATGGCAAAAGGTGCATCCTGTGACTTGGCCACCTCCCACCTTGGGCCTCATCCTGCAGCTCCACACCCTAGGCCTCTCTTAGGTTTTTTAGAGCCTGCTCATCCCTAAGAAATCTGAAATTTGATGAACCTTGGGGAGCTTTCAGAGGAAGCCTAATTTCTACATACTCATGAGAATATATTTGCTTTTGGGCAGGGTTCTGTGGCGGTTCATTGCATCTAAAGATTGGATTGGTATCCCCTGATTAAAGCACTTTTCCTTACTGAGAACTAAATAGTCAGAGGGGGAGTGAAAAACAAAAAGGAAAAAGGAAAACCCAAGAGACCAACTGTTACAAACACTGCTGCTCTGCAGGGAAGCTCATTCAGATTCCTGACACCCTCTAAACACCCACTTGTGCTGCTGAGTGCAGCTTTTGGAGAGCAACCTTCTGCTATTCCCTGAGGTGGTTTTAAGTGAGGTTTGTGCTCTGTGAGTGCTGGCTGCTCTTACAGGGAAGGATGAACCTGTCCACGAGGAAATGGAGAACACAAGGAAGGGTTTCCTAGCTGTTTGGCTTGCATCCCCTGCTAACACCCTGCAGCTCGTGGTGCCTTGGTGGCATCCAGGCAGCGATGAGAGCTGGCTAATCCCCCTGATCTGAGGGATCAGCTCCTTCCCCCGTGGCTGGACAGCAGCACCCCTGGCTGCCTGCCAGCAGGACGTGGCACAGAGGGTGACAACACAGCCCGTGCCAGTGGCACCGAGCTAAACATCCCACTGTCCCCTCTGCCTTGGACTGCTCTGGCAGGACAGTCCCTGCCTGAAAGGGGGGACAAGAGAAAAACAGCAAGTGACAAATGGCACTGCTGAGCTGGCTGCAGGGAACTCGGTGGGACTGGGAAAATGACCCGTTTGGTGACACAGCTTTGCAGTTCAGGCTTTAGGTACTGTGAATAATGACCCCTGTTCCAGCAGAAATGAGAGGAGAAACCTCATCCTACAGCACTTACCTCCTTGCTGGCCAAGGAAAATACACATTGTGCTCTTTAAAACAGAAAGATATCAATCAATGTTAATGGCAGGGCTTTTTCTTTTCCTTTGGTGTGGCGTTCTGCCCGATCTCAGTGTGGCATCTCTCCATCCACAGGGTCTCAGCTATCAAAGCCTTCAAGTATTTATACTTTTACATATATATGTTTATGTCTATCTGTATGGTTGACATTGCTTGAAAGTCAGCTTAAAAAGTGTGTTTTAGCATGAGATTCGAGGCCACTCTGTTTCAGCCTGCTGAGAGAGCAGTGCACCTGGAGAAGTGCTCACTTCCCTGCTGTCCTGCCTGCCCTGGCCTCCCAGTACTGCTGGTTTGATCTGGGTGAAGCTGGGGGCCAGGACTGCTGGGTGCTACCCAAATGTGTGGTTTTATACAGGCCTGCAGCCTCTCCTTTTCCTCTTCTTCCTCCTGAGTTGTGCCCTGGGCTGTGACAACAAAACCCTGCTTTCTTCTGTATAAACTCAGAGCAGCATTCTCCTGCCACGCCAACAGGAGTGCTCACGGTGTGAGCTCCTTTTGAGGCACAGCTATTCACCATCACAGTAAATCTAAGAATTAGCTTGGCAGTATTGTTTGCATCCAAAGAGGCTGAGTGGGATCCTGCTGCCATCATGTGTGGCAGTGGGAATGTGGGCACATCAGAAGAGCTGATGGTGTCTGTTCCCTACAGCCTTGGGCTTCAGAGATGAAAGAAATGACCTGATTATTAGAAAAAGGGCTAATAATCACCTCAAATAGTTGTTGTGCCCTGAGGCAAGTTCAGGATGTGCATGTCATCCACATGTGTGTTTATGTGGTGTATTTTTAATTACATTTACACAAGGGCTTGCCATAATCTGCCTCTGTGATCAGCTCAGGTGCCTTCCTGCACTGCTCAGTGTTACATGGACTGGCCCTGCAGCTTCTAGTTATTAGGAGAGTTTGTTTCCTTCTTTCCTACAGACAGTTTTTGCACATTTGAAGGCTGTTTTGGTAGCTTCACTCAATCCTCTCTCTCTAGACTTATGCTCAAAATTTTCTCCAGCTTCTTGACTCGGCTTTGCTTGCTGGGTCTGTGGCTGTCCTCACACCTCTCCTCTGGGCTCCTTTCTCCTCTTATTTTCACAAATCTGCAGGAAAAAATGTGAAAAGTGTAGAGTTCTGAGGCTTGTGCAGTTTCCAAGCCCATCACAGCATTGCAAATGCTGTTTCCCTTAGTTCATCCCGCTGCACAGCCTTGCAGGCAGAAATGCCTGGCCTTGCTGTGTGAGCAGTGAGAGGTTGCACCCCACTTTGATTCCAGGTGCTGAATGCTGTGGCTGGGGGTGCAAATCCAGAGTCTGATGGGAATGGGATAGCTCAGCTGTGTAGCACCTACAGCAAATCACAGTCCTGTCATAATGGTGATGAAAGAAGAAAAATGAGGACATCAGCTTTGGCTGCCAGGCACTTCTTCTGAAACACCCACACTGCTGTTGGCACTCATGCTGGTGCTTGTTGCACCTCCCGAAATGTCCCACTACCATATTGCCCTTTTCCCTGTAGCTCTGACCTGGAGTCTGATTTCAACGGGGACTCCTCGAACTCGGAGGTGAGCGAAGGCCAGACATCGCTGCCGGAGCCCCCTGCCTGCTCCAGCCCCATCCAGAGGTGGGCATCACTCACCAGGAACCCCGTGGTGCCCCAGGAAAGCTCCAAAACATCCAAAGTCGCTGATGGTAAGCAGTATTCTGACTATTCTGACCTGGGCGTGCTCCAGCAGCTTCTCTGGGGGTGCAGGTAGGACTAGGGGAGACTTTTCAAAGTGGAGGGTGCTCCCTGCATTGTGGCCAGGTTGTCTTTTGGGGGGGTTTTCTGACATTTTTGTGCTGTTACTTTGTGCAGGGTAACCTGGAGCAGTTGTGCCTCGTGCTTGGCTTGCCGGGCTGGGATGAATGTTTTCCCATCAGTAAAATGTTAGGATGGTGTTAGGCAATGCAGTATCTGCAACACTGCCTAGGCAAGGGTGAGGCTGGGAATCACTAGAGAGCTGTGCTTGCAACAATTTGGGTTTCTACAGGTAGCTGCTGCATGGTTTTGTAGCCAGTGAAAGCACAGGGAGGAAAGGATATAGCTAGCAGGGAGGCGAGGAGATGTTTGGGAACAATCTGCCTTCACATGGAAAGAAACTTTTCTGGAGCTGGTCAGAACTAACAGATGTGCTAAAAACAGCCATCTGCAGAAAATAAAAGGCCACCAGCATTCGTTTCTTCCCATCTCCCACTACACCCACATTCATATATGCATTTTTAATCCAAAAAAATGTGTGGGACCGGGATCCGTGGGAGGTGCCCGAGCCGCTCCCGCATCCCGCGGCGGGTGCGCGCTGCCCTCTCCCGGCTGCAGGCTGCTCGGAACGCTGACCCCTGGCACCAGGAGCTGGGCTTCTGTTCCTCCACTCCTCTGCTTTCCCCAGCCCCGCTTTTGCTCTCTGGCTTTTGCTGCATTAGCTGACCCTGTGTCCCTTCTCTTTCTGCTCAGCACTCCAGAGAGCCAACAGTTTGCAGTCCACGGCGTTAAATAAGTATCAGAATTGGAGGAGAAAAATCCAAACCAGTGAGTAGAGCTTTAGAAGTGATTGTATCTTCTCTTCATGCTGTTTTCCTGTCTTTTCATTGTCTGTTTTCCCTCCTTTCCTTTAGAATGTTTGTAATTTTGAGTCACTAGTTACTACTAGTTTTGTATTTTGAGTCACTAGTTGAGAAAACAGTGATCTAAAACACATCAAATGTTTCTTTCCATTTTCTTACCCTTAAAAGATCAGACTCCCTTTCTTTGTGTAATTATACCCATCAGCAGGTGGTGTCCAATTCTCCAGATGGGAACACACACCCCTGTCCCAGAGCTGCAGATTTTGTCTCTAGCTCACCTGCACTGATTGCTTTTGATCAGGTGGGACACTGTCTAATTCTCCAGATGGGAACACACACCCCTGTCCCAGAGCTGCAGATTTTGTCTCTAGCCCACCTGCACTGATTGCTTTTGGTGGGACATGGGGTCTGACCTGGTGTCACTCATCAGAAGTGCTCCTGGAGATCCCTCCTGACACACTTCCACAGGTGCTCTGTCACCTCTTTCCTGTTGGGAAAAAACTCCCTGGTGATATTTTTGGGTTGTTGAAAGGGAGAAAGCCAATCCCAAGAGGTGAGATGGTGAAAATAAGTGTTAGTGCTTCTTTTCCTCTAGCAGTTCCCCTTGGTTTGGGCTGACCTGCTTTTCCCTGTGGAAATCACACAGGACTGCAGTGATTTTGATAGAGATTGTGCTCTATTCACTCCTGAAACAGAATGTGGTCACCCCCCTCAGCTGAAGGTGATAGATAACCTTCCTCCTGGGCTGGGGTCCCCAGAAAAGACACTCACCCTCGGTTTCACCCCTGCTGCTTGGAGCTGCATCTCCCTCCTGCCTCGGCACAGCCCTGAGCAAGGGCACACAGCTTCCTGCAGTGCCCTAAGGACCAGCAGGTTCCTGGCCTCACCAGAGTGGGGCTGGAGGAGTTTACCAGCACCCAGAGCCCCTCAGAGCTCTGCTGGAAGTGCATTTGTGTCTGGGAGCTGGGGGGTTGGCAGACTGGAGTGTGAAACACGTGAAAAACGTGCAGCACAGGACTGAGTGCCAGAGACAGCAGGATTTGGCAGTGGTGGGGACAGCTGCTCTTTAACCCTGCCCTAAGCTGCCCTCTGCAACAAGGGGCATTTCTGCTGCTGCTCAGTGTCCTGTCTGCCTTCAGAGAAGTTATGGCTCTGCTTCTGAAACAAGTAGGATCCCTGTGCCCAGAATGATCCCTGTGCCCATGTGCCAGTGCTCAAGCAGAGGCATTTCAGCTTGCTTGCATTGAATGCACAAGAAAGCTTGGAGATTATTTGCAAGTACCCACTTGTGGGATGGATTTTTATACCTCAAGTGATGAGATGAGATGCATTTTTTTCTTCCTGGCATCAGCTTTGCCTTCAAGTCAGATGCACATGAGCACTGTCACTACCCACCCACGTTCCCCTGGAGACCACGTGTGGGATAACTCAGTAAATCTCGGGAGAGCACGCACAGGGCTGTTTCATGGTCCTGACAGGAGGCCCCCACCAAGCTCTGTGAAGGTCTGTCCCTGGAGAGGCAGACAGACAGAGGAGAGGCAGGACAGGGCTGCATTCCCTGGAATTCCCTGCAGCCTCTGAGAGGCTGTGTGGGGTGTCCCACCCAGGGAAGGGCTCCCCAATGCTTGGAGGAGAAGGTGGAACAGGGTGTCCTCAACGTCTCCTGGCATCCCCTGAGTAAAGCACATGGGAATAGGCACAGACATCAGAGTTTGGCTCCACCAAAGGCTTGGATTTAAAGTCTTGCCTGAATTGATGTCAGTTTTTAGAAGATCAATCAATAATGATTCCTGATCCAGGTTTGTATGTGGGGTAAGAAAGATTTTTAGAGAGGAAAGCAGAGAAACTGGAAGGAGTGTCATTCTTAATTCTGACTGATTTTCACCTTGTTCTTAGCAAGGGCATTATGGTTAGCCAATTAATTTTACCATCATTTTGTTAAAATCTTCCGTGTGCCTCAAGGGCTCTAGAGGGAGCTAAAAGCCTTTGAGAGAGAAGCGATGTGCTGCAGGAGTCTGCCTGAACCTCAAGCATGCTGTTAAAATGAGGTGTAAAGCACAGTCAGCATACACTGGGAGCAGAATAAAGGCTTTTTTTACTCTCTGGAGGAAGACTGTAAGTCATAGTTTCTATATTTAATCCAATTTGATTAAAGAAATTCATATGATCATCAGTCACATGAAAAAAAAATTCTGTCTCCTTTTCAGACATATTTCCCTAAACACATATGTTTCATAAACAGCACGGGGTAGGCAGCCAAGGAGAGGAAATCAGTGTCATGGCTATATTGGCTGAAAGGCTCAGGGCAGGATATTACCTTTCAAAACCTTTAATCCCCATTGCACGGCCACAGGGAACGCCGTGCTCTTAATTTATCTTGGGATTTTGGGCCAGGAAGATCATGATAGTGCCCTAGGGAACTTTGTTTTTTCTTTTTTTTTCTTTTTTTTTCTTTTTTTTTCTTTTTTTTTAATCCTGTTTTGAAAGCAAAGCTGAAAATACAGGTTCAGCATCTTGGTGGGAATGAAACTGTTTTCCCTGTGATAGATGGGGAGCTGTGGCTTTGTGTGCAGGCCTGTCCTTGTAAGCCTGCCTATGAGAGCTGGGGTGAGCAGCAGTTCTCCCCTGGGGTATGAGCAGACCCCTGGGTTTTATGAGGGCTGGAGGTTTTATCCCCTCAGTGTCCTGAATCATGACATTTGCTCCTGCCAGGAGACTCAAGGCTTTAGTGAATCAGGCTGAAGCCCCCTGGCTCACTCATGCAGGTGGTGGTGGTAGTGGCTTTTTAATCCTAATTGTGCATCCTCATGTTTTCTCATACTCAATTACAGAATATAAAGGTCAGCCCCTGCTTGCCATCCCTGCAGGAGCTCCTTAACAGGCTCCAGCACAGTGTGTCTCTCCAGTCTTGATCAAACACAACAAGACTCGGTACAAATAGGTGAGACACTGAGAGGAAACTCAGTCTCCCTCCCTGGCTTTGCTGAAGTCCACATGCAGGAGCCATCCTCTCTGTCTCTGGAGTGTTGCTTTTGTCCTTATGCACCTTTTAATCCCCATGTAGAAGAACCAAAGTTTGCATGGATTTCAGAACTAATGGTTGGGTTTGGGAGTTAATAACTGAGCTGTAAATATACTTGTCATGTTATAGCTGGACATGATAATATCTTGGATCAGGGATACTTTTGTTTATCCAAAGATTATTTGTTATGTAAAATTCCCATGGGCACAAGTAGTGGAAAGTTCTCCTGCCTCCCCTCAGGTACAAATTGCCTCCTTTAGTAATTAATTACCTTGCCTGGTCCTAGGAGAGGCCTGCTGTCCTGGCTTGGGAGACTTTTTTCTGTCCTTACTGCCTGCAGGCTCCCATTTTGTCCCCATTCTGATGGACAGCCCTCTCAGAAGTCATCCACTTTCTTCATTTCTTGGAGTTACCCAAAGTTCAAAAGTCACAGGTTGTTTTGACTGCCTCTGCTTCTGAGGCCTGAAGGCCCTCTGAAGAGGGCTGGCTTTCCAGAAAGTTTCCTGGACCTCAAAAGCTGCTTCACTACATCCAGCCAAGAAGTGGGAGCAGTTCACTGTTGAAAATATCAGCATGTGTTTGGCACAGCACACACACACGTACAAGTGAGGCACAAACTTCAGTGCTGCAGGTCAGTCCTTCAGGCTCAGCTCCACCCAGGAGGCTCTTTCATCTTCTGCTCTTCCTCTGCAGTGGCAGACTTCATTTCAGACCAAGTCAATGCCAGTGGGAAGGTAAAAGCTGTGTCTTTTGCAGGCTTTCCTCTGCTGTCCAGCAAGAAACCTGGGCTGCACAGGAGGGACAGCTCAGCCAGCTGCCAGAGTGGTGCTGCAGAGGAGCGCTCCCAAACACAGGTACAGAGGAGAACTGAGCAGGGCACAACGACTGTGACTACATTGGGCATCTCTTCCCTCAGCAGGCTATCTCTGCTCCTTTTAGATAGCTTTGGTCCACTGAGGATGGAGTCAGACTTGTGCTGTACGTAGGGAGGAGACTTGGATTTCATGTCATCATTCCCAAATCAAGCGGCTGTGAGAGTCAGGCCTCAATCACATGAAGAGTTAGCCACTAACTTGCTGCATCAGTCATAAAATCACAGAATAGTTTAGGTTGGAAAAGGACTTCACATCTCCCACTGCTCAGGAGCATCTTCGGTGTCCTTCCAGACCTCTGATTTCCATGGTATTTTCTGAAGGTTTTTTATTTTTAGGTTTTTTAAGGGTGAGGAAGGGCGGCCCTGCCATGGGTGCAGCACTGCAGGAGCGTGACTGACCATCCTGAGCAGAGAGCAGCACATCCCTGGACTCCTGGAGCCAGATGGAGCAGGGTCCAGCCCACAACCCCTGTGCCCTGCACAGTTGTCCTCACCCTTGGGATAAACATGACTAAAATTACTTGACCTCAGGGCCAGTGCTAGGAAAAAATCAACTCTTCCAAATCCACGGTGATGGCTGAAATCCGGTGCAGGACAATGGGGGCCAGGAAGGGAAGGTCCCAGGAGAGCAGAGCTGCACAAAGCTGCCAGGCCATGAGGAGAGGTGACTCCTGCTCTACCAGCACTGCTTAGTGGCCTTTTTCTTGCTCTGAAAAGCAAGGATTAAGAGGGTGTTTATTTGTTTATTGTGTTTCTTACAATTTTTTTTTTAAATCCTGGCCAGTAACAACTTTAGTCATCAAACAGAAGCATGAAACAAAGTGCAATCATTATTGCCTTGCTTCTGATGCTTCTGGGAAATGAAAAGTCAGACAGATTAATGGCTTCACCCATGTGAATTTGGGTATCTGGCACATAAGTGGAAGCAGGAATTCAATCTTCACACCATCCATTATCACATAGCACTGATGATAAAATGCCTCCCTTTTTAGAAGGAAGAACTCTAGTTTCTACATAAAGTGGGTGTTTATCCCTGTTGCTACCTTCAGCAGAAGATTTTGGTGGCTGGAGTAATGAATTTAAACCTTTACCAAAAGAAAAATAATCACAAGAGAGAACTAATTTAATTGTTTAAAACTACCATTTTACATTTTTATAATCTTCTCTGGGTCATCTCTTCCATTCCTACCTGTGCTACATAAACATGCAATATTAGAAAAACATTTAGAGAGGATGAATAATAGTCTCTTTTGCTTGCTCAAAACTCTAAGGTGATGCAACTGGAACACACAGGAGAATAGAACATATCTGCTCTTGTCTGTTTTCCTGGAGACAGGACTGTTTCTTTATAAAGAAAATATTAAAGGTAATTCATAAAGATATGACAGATTCTTAGCATGAATAACATTATTTTTAGACTATTAAAATTTCCAGTAGTATTAGATCTCTGCTCTTAGAGAAATATTAGCCCTTTAGGGAGAAGAGCTTTTCTCACATTATCATTGACATGTGTATTTGTGTATAAATTAAATATTATGTTCATTACTATTATGTTGAGATTAAAATGGGATAAAATATCCTATGAAATAGAAGCTACACAAAGCAGTGTTTTTATAACCCTAAAATAATTTTTTTTAATGCACTTCACAGTTGGCTGCTTACAAGAAGCCACCAGAAATTCTAAGAGGACATTTCAAACCCTGCAGCCCAGTATTTCAAAGAAAAGAAGAAGCCAGGGAGATGCCTGAAGACACACATTTCTATGTTCCCCACTGTTTTTTCCAGAGCAGCACCACAGGTTCTCCACAAACACCTCTTTGCAATGAGGCATTGGCTGCTGACTTTTATGAGCCTGAAGACACAGACAGTGACACTGGGACAAGCTCAGCCTGGGACTGGAAGGAAAAACCACGGAAATACACCTCTGAACAAGAGCACTTTAACAGCAAGGCAAAAGAACTGTCAACTCTGTATTTGAAAGAGAAAGATGGCAAAAATACCAGGCACCCAGAACAAAAGCTGGAGCAAGAATTAAAGGAGGCAAAACAGAAGCAGGGGCTTCATAAACAGCAGCCCTTGTATGGCTCAAACAGGACAGACCCAGGTGGGAGCAGTCCAGGGTGTGGAAACAACAGAGCCCCATGGGCTCTGGAGAAGAAGGATGATGGCTGGAGAAAAGAGATGTTCAAACGCTCCAGCTGTCCTGGGCCTCTCTTATTTGCAGATGCTGCTCCACCAGCTCCATCAGTGGACACAAAGGGTGCTCTGAGTATTCCAGATGTGGTTCCCAGGGAGTATGCAGCCGCCCAGCCAAAATCCCCACTGAGGCTCATAGCCAATGCTATCAGAAGGTCAATTTGGGAGCCTCTAACCTCAGCCCCAGAAGGATTAAAGCAGGACTTGGACAGCAAAGTCAAAGCCTCTTCAGAACAAGCCTTCTTCAGCTTCCCCAGCACTGCTGGGTATTCCCTAAGCCAAAGGAACAGGAACAACAATAACACTCAGTCACAGGATCCTAAAATAAGAGAGTGGGCAGGAAAATATGTAGGAGATGGGAACCCTAACTCAAATCGATCTCATTCTTCTGTGGGCTCAGAAGGGCTATCCCTAAGGGGTTACAGGGAGGAGGTGTCTTTCACACCCCACAGACCTTCCAAGACAACCCATATACCTCAGAAACCAGCTTGCACTAGGATGGAGGAAGTCCCAGGACTCCTAGAAAAGTTTACCTTTGAAGACAGTCCTCTAGGGACTCCCATGGATGAAATATGTATCCGTAAGAAAAAGTCCACTCTTCTTTCATCTCCAGAGCCCAAGAACTCCTTCCATGACAGCCTGGATGACACTGCACAAAAAGGGTCACTCTTCAATAGACTGAGAAGCAAAGCTCTTGAAAGGGAACAGAATTCCTTAGTGTCATCTCTGTCCGTCATTAAGCATCATTCTCCAGAAAGGTTGTGTCATCCTTTCAAAGGTGAGGACCCCAGTGGAATTACTTTGTTATTATTATTGCTGTCATCATTATCATTATTATTATTATTACTATTGTGTCCTATTACTATTATTATTGTGTAATATCATTTAACATTTAAAAGACCTGTGCGTGACCATGCAGGCACACATCTATGTTTAATGTGTGTTTAATTTCTGTTATTTTAATGTGTGTTTAATTTCTAGTTATTTTCTACGTAAGGAAATATAATAAATACAATTTGTAGCTAAAGTTTAGGAGTTGCTGCAGATTTAAAGGAGTGGAGTGGATTTGCAAGCAGAACCAGCTTGCTGGACTGAAATTTGGTTTGCCGCTTGCTGTTGTTGGGACATGTTTGGGTCAGGGAATTGCCCTCAAGAGGTGGAAGGGGTGGCAAGGCAGAGTGGCATGCTGGGCTGGGCAGAGCAGCTTTTGCAGTGACACTGAGTTGTGGAAGGGGTCAAGAGCAGGCAAGCAGAAGTGGCACCAAAACCTGCCATTTTTGCAGTGCAGAGTAAATTTGTTTTCCCCCCCATGAGGAACCAGAGACTGAAAGAGCATGGTTGCAGCAGCAAGAAGTTTTGCTCTGTGTTAGTGCTTCCTCAGCAGGTGTCCCCTCAGCTCTGCTGTCATAGTGGCCATGCTGTAGACATACTTTTGGGAGCTTTGCAGTGTCATTAAGATCCCCTTGTTGTTCAATTTGAGAGGAGAGAGCACCTTATTGACCTTCTCTGACCTATTGTGAGTCTATCTGGGCAGTGATTAAAAGGCATCAATTTTCTTGTTTGCCTGCAAAAGCAAAGTTAGTATTAAAACTGCAGACAAGTCCAAGAAATATTGATGCCAGACCAAGAGCAATCTGAGTGATCATAAGCTCAGAAAGAATTAAGTGCAGCAAAGATTCAGATGTGAAATATGAGGCATGAGAGCTGCACCCACCTTTCTCTGTGGTGCATCTTCCCAGTGCAGAAAGTCTCAGATATTTAACTAAATAACCTATTGAATTTTGTCAACACACCTGTTTGTCTCTTGCTTTATGAAATTGCCACCCAAACTGTAACCCCAAAATCACTGCTGTGCCTCAGCAATAAAACCTGTATGTAGAATGCAAAGTCACTGAAATGTTCCCAGGGAGATGCCAGATCCTTTAGCATCCCTTCTGCTTCAGAACTGCCACAAACTGTGAGAAAGATACAGTACGTAAGCCACTTGATCTGGAGCTCATCAAAACTGATAGAATAACTCCTGATCTCACTCCTAAATTTATCCTTGGAGCATCCTTTATCCAACAACTCACAAAACCAGGCATTCCCATTGAGCCAGAAGATGTTGAGGACAGAACTGAAGCCACAGAGAGTTGCTGGTTCACACATCTCACTGTGTTCTTAAATGAGTCTGTACCTCATTCAGAGTCTGTACCTCATCACTGCCCATCAGCTAAGCCAACCTGACTTGCTCTTAACTAAATGCATTGCAGTAATTGGTATGTTGTGCTTATACCGAAATGGGAAAGGCTCTTGCAAGTTTGAATCATGCTATACTTTATTTATGCTGAAAATATTTCGAAATAACATGTTGGTGTAACATGTTGCATTCCTCTGCTGTGCAAGCCAGAAGAGAAATTATTGAATTTTTACAGTTATTGAATACAGATCATGCAAAGTCTGTTTAGAAAAAAAAGGAAACTGAAGCTCTAATCTAGTCACTTGCCCAGTAATCTGTTCAATGTTTCAACATTGTAGCTCTCTGAAGTTTTTAAAACAGTCATATTTGAATAAATCTATATATAGTAAAACTAGTAAAGAGCTGAATCATGTTTGACTCTCCGAAATGGCATTTCTGTCTCATACAGGCACTTATTAGAGGCCCAGGCTTGACAAACTTTAGTAATGAAGTGATGACAAGCTTTAGCCCACACTTCTTGTAATTATTTTTCCTCTCTTGAAATTTACTAAAAATTTCATTAAGGAAAAAAATACTCCCAGCCCCTTTCAGAAGCCAATTTAATGAGTCTCCTAATACTCCTCTTTGCTCTTTACAGTAGGGCTTTCCTATCCTGTTTGGGGTCAAACTTGCTGTGCAGGTATGGTTGGTATTGCATTGCACTGGTGTTTTCTCCCTCGGTGGCTTGTGAATCCAGAGAGTGAGCATGGGTGTCCATGGGCTTGAGATGAACCTGGGCCAGCTCATCACAGAGAAAATCCCTGGGGAGTAACCAAATACTTAGAAAAGGCTTCTGATATTTAATATGTTCTGTCATCCCGTCCCTTCCTGCCATGTGCTCAGCCCCCAGCTGAAGCTCAGCATGAAGAAGCAATCTTCACAAAAAGGAAGATTCTTAGCAGCAGATTGCCTGTGGCTCAAACCTGCACCTGCAGTGCCACTTTCCATATGGCTCATTCCAGTTCCTGGTGTCCAGCCTGATTTCAAGGCTTTCTGCCTAACACTTCTCCTCTGTTTCATAAGAGCTCGTCCTCAGAGACACTTGGAAATTTGGGGCTGTGCAGAATCCAGCTGCACAGACTACTTGTGTGAGACCTAGACAAAGCTCACTGAATTAATGGGGGTTCATGCAAACTTTTCATACAGAGGCTGGTTTAAAAAAAAATAAATCCAAAGTTTGCCTGTAGAATATTCAACTGTCCACAAATAACCATGCTGGACTTCCTAAGTGCTATTCCAGATTTTTGATTTACTACAAAAATATCTTTAAGGCCTTTGTCCTCTGATGCTTCCTTTGTGTTCCAACCTGCAGTAAAACTCCCCCCACAAAACTGATCAATAAAATTGTTCAATCAGATGGCTAACTGTTCTCTCCTAAGCCTACTTGACCTTTTGAAATTCAAAAATTGCCAAAGTGCCATGTTAATTATAGATACTTTAAGCAGTATAACCAATTCAGCTGATGAGAAAATTTAACATGCTCTGGACTCACTTTGCTGATTCTGTGCACCCTCAGACTGGGAAGGGATTGCTTGCAAATGTTTCAGGTTCCCGTTGTTGTGCCCCAGAAAGTCTGTGTGTTTGCAGTGTTCTGCTCAGCAAGGACACTGCTTTTGCACCGATTTTGTATTTTAGAAGGGGAGCTCAGGCATCAGAAAATTAATTACATGCATAAGACCACATGAGAAACCTATGGAGAAGCAGAGATGTGAAACCAAATAGGAAAGTCCTCTCTTTCTGCTGGTCATTCTGGATTTCTCCTGACAATTCTTTCCATTTTCTACTAGCTTCCATCTCATTTTGGACACCAGTGTCCCAGGAGATAGTGTAACTTTATCTCTTTCTTTTGTAAAACACTGAAGCTCTTAAAGTGGTCAGGATTAATCCCATGACTTTACAAAAAATATGCAATCTTGGACAGCTAGGGAGGAAGCCAACAGAATAATACAGCATTGTGTTATCAAAACAGTTCCTGCTCCAAGACATTCTGTGTATTTAGGCTGCAGTAACCACATGGCACAAAAACACCCCAGGGAAGAAAGGGAAGGGAGCTGTGACAGGCAGATTGACACCAGTGGTGGGTTTTCCCTGGGAATCTCCAGGACAATCAGTAGTGCTCCCACATTTAACACAAGGGATCACCTTACCAGCCTCTTCATGTCACACCTCCCTTGTTTTTCAGAGGACCTCGGGTTTCCTGGGAAAATGAGTACCTTGGATGTTCATGATAAGGGAGATGTTCTCAAAAGCATTGCACTTTTATCTGAGGTCTTGTCCCATGGTGGGGGGAAAGCTCTAGTACAACATATGCTAATTTGGATATGAGGGAGATGCTAGAGTATTTGGGAAATAAGAAATATGTCATAAATAACTCCAAATCTGAAGAAATGAGATGCCTGGGAAGTGAAAGCCCAAGTCAAGAAGACTTGAGTGACTATTTGGAAAAGAACCTACATTTTTGAGACCAGTTCTGCAGCAGGTCAAGCTTTAAGGCTTGGCATATTTGGAGGCAAATTATTATCATCTAACTTCAGTATTACAGTTCTAAATTTCAGATTTTAATGACTCAGTAAAGTCCCTAAGTTTGAACATTGTTATGTTTGTTTTGTCAAAATTCTCACAGCTGTTGGCTAAGTTCTGTCTATCCCACCCTGTTTGGTTTGAGGGGTTTTTTGGGTGTTGGTTTGGGGTTTCTTGTTGTTTCTTTGTCTTATTGTGCTGGAGCAGGCTGCTTCTCCTCCAGACCTTGTAACGCTTCCTAAATTATTGATATCAACCAAAGGGGAGGACCAAGGGAGCTCTCTCTTATTCCCAGAACAGCTGAGAGAAGAAAGGGAGTGTGTAACTCCTCATGTTTCCAGCCCTGCCCGGCTGCAAGGTTTGCCCTCTGCATACAGTGGAATTTGATTTCTCTGCTGGCCTGACTGCAGGGTAGTTACTGCAAACTTTTGGCTGCACAGGGAAAAGCAAGGTGGGGAGTTTCCTCATTAAAAGAAGCAGTGGCTGATGCTCCCCACACCTGGGAAGGGCTGGAAAGATGAGCAAGACCTGCATCCCAAAAAGGATGGCAGGACCCAAGTCTGCTCCACTGAGCCCTCTGAGCTTGCAGCACAAGGACTTCTAAAGTTCTTGGGTGCTTCTAAAACTGAGATTGATGGAAAAAATAAATCAGAATTTCTGCCTCAAATTACTTGGATTTGCTTCTATTGCTTTACTGTCTCAGATGGACACATTTCATGGATCCTGAGTTTAAATTAGGGCTGAAGGCAAAAGTCCTACTTCAGTCCTGGGACCCAGAGCAAGGCAAAGAAGAAACATCTTCACTGGGAGAAGGGGAGGAGATTTTAATCTGAATACACCTAGAAAGCCAACTGTTGCCTTGTAGATACAAAGAAAAACTAGCCCTGTTAGCTTTAAATAATGTACATTTCCAAGATGCCCAGCTGTTAATCATTAACCCTGTAGCAGGTTGAAGCACAGACACAGATGTTCCAAAAGTGGTTTTATTTTCTGAATTAAAGAGAATGAAGCTACACATTAGACAAATTAAGAAGAAATTCAAATATTTACACCCAGTTGAAACAAGATGCTGGAGAAACAGGCATGATAAAATTGCTGCAATTAAATGTAATTTAATTTATAATTCTGAAAGCATGTTTCTTCCAAAGGCAGACTTTGAGTTTTCCTTATGGAGTGTATTGTTGTGATGTACAGATTTTCCTGACTTCTTACGGCATTTTAATCAACAGCCCTATGATGTGATAATATTCCTAAAGCAGAAAAATAAGTGACATTTGTTTAGACATAATTAATGTAATATTTATGTTGCATGAGGCCGTGTGATAAAGCCTTGTTCTCTTAGTCCATTTGCTTCTGATTACATTTGTGATTTTTTTATATGACCAGACATTCTGACGCCAACTATTTTACACTGAGCAGATGTCATGTAGTAAAAATGGGTGCCAGATGCTACAAGCCACATAAGGGTAATTTGTTTAAGAGCTGGCTCAGACTTTGTGCATTCAATTACACTGTATAGTGAGCCTTATACAATCATTTGGGTAACATGGCTAACTTCAGATATACATTTTAATGAATGTTGAGTGCATTCAGAACAGCGTGCTACATGCAGGGTGCTCAAGGAATTAATTTATTTGTTTGTAGTACCTAGAAAAAAATATAATAAAATATATAGCCAGACAGTTTTTGACAAGGATCAAAAATTTAATTAGTGTTGTCAGCTGAATTTCCAAATTGTCTAGGTGCTGCTGATTAGAAGTCAGGGCAGGTGCAAAGTGTCTGTTTAAGTTAAAGAACAGAATTTTTTGCTTCATTGACCGTTTTGTTATTGTGTTTTAGGATATGAATACCTACCTATCAGAAAACAAGCCATTGAGTATTCTACTTCATCCTCTGATGAGGAATTTGAATCCAAGCCTTCATTAACACACAAGGTAATCTTGAGTTGGAAATAGAAAGGTATTTCCTTAGTTGGGTTGTACTTAAAATTCATCATATGATTTTGATCTAAAACACGCAGCAATTCCTCGAAGTGGGAAGTGGAACGTTGGAGGTTGCATGTCATGGAGAGAAAATGCATTAAGACAGATGAACATCAACATTTCTTTTACCTCTTTGGACTTTTAATTTCCCCTGGTTATACCAGTGCTGACAGAGGAGGCCTTAATCTGACAAACAGAAATGTTTCACTGAAACTGCTTTGAAGCTGATTCTTAAGTGGCACTAATATGTAGCCCAACAAGCAAACTATTGAAAAAAATAAACAGATGCAGATTTCCTCTGGGGGAATACAGACTCATGTGAGAAGTGCTGCAGAAAAGCATTCTGTGGCTCACACACTTGTGCTGGTTAGGATAAAGTCACCCCCAGGCCCTGTACCCCAAAAGGGCTGACTGCAGGAGCAGGAGGCAGGGGGCTGCAGCACCCTGAACGTTCCACACCCAGCTCTGACGTGAGGAAACACAGCTTTTGTTGTCTGAACAGCTCATCAGAAATGTGTTTATCTCTTTCCTGTGCAGAATATCAGCAAATGTAATTAATAGTATGAGGCGGCCTTTTAATTTGCTGCCTTTGGGGGGTGGAGGGAAGAGGAAGGAAAGCAAACTACTGAAAAAGACTGAAAGATATGAAAGCCAAGTGGGACTTTGAATGGAAAAAGAGCCAAAGCACAGCGATGTGTGGCAACACATGTCCCCAGTGGCTCTGTGTCAGGATGTGCTGAGATAGCAGGATTCTTCATTCATCTTTCCTGTTACAGGATAAATCTGTAGTAGAATAATGTTACGGTGAATTAAAAAAGGTTCAAATAAAATAGAGAAAAGGAGGGAGACATGGGTGCAAACTGGATAGAAGTGGCCCCCAGCAGTTTAGGCAGTCATGGGGAGGGAAGGACCAGGCAGGGAGAAGGCAGAGCTCCAAGAAAGCTGCCAGAAATGGGAAGAAGGATCAGCTGTTGCACATGGGCATTAGCAGTGATTCAGTTCTGATGCACATTCCCCACTTGGTGTGCTCCTTTCAGCTGCCTTCTACCATCCCTTTTCATGCCAGTTCTGGCTGCTATTTTGCCAGTGCCAACATTTGTATCTGGCAAAACTTGGTGGGAAAAAAATTAGGGACTTCCTGGTTGGTTAATTTTTTTAAATTTTGTCCAGTCTATGGTGCTCATATATCCTGCCTCCTCAAAAATGCCTGCCCTAACCACAGCCTTGAAGCACTTCAGGACAGCTTGGGTCAAAGGGAAGGTGGAGAAATGGCAGGTGATTCCCTGCCCAGCCCTGCAGCATGTGCTGCAACAAGTGCCCTGGGGAAAAGCAAAAATCTCTGTAATGCAGCTCAGAAATGCATTAGGGAATGTTTCATAGGGCTTCAAGTAGTATCCCATGATGTGAATTTACCACTTTATAGCTATAGCAATGGAAATGGGTAAAATTTCCTTAAACTGGTGTTTTCTCCAGCCTGTGTATGACCATGTATAGTGGGATGTTGTATACAGGCAGCTTTGTGATTTGGAAATGTTTTATCAATGCTCACTTAGGGTTGCCTTAGGAGCTTGTAATGCATGTAAATGTTCCTACAGGGCTGTTTCCCTTTTGCCCCAGCAGCCTGCAGCAGCTCACCCTGCTCTGGGCAGGGGATAGGGTCAGACTGTCCCCAGGGGTCAGTCCCAACCTCAGTGTGTTTCTGGGGGAGCTTTGAGGAAAGCTGCAATGGCATATTTATGCTTTGATTGCCTTTTTCTTTCCCTCTGTGTCTTTTATAGGCAAAAAGGGCTTTCAGAAAGAGAAGGAAGCTGGAGAAGGAGACAAAGCAGCTGATTAAACAAGAGGAGCTGAAGAGGCTTCACAAAGCACAGGTGAAAATGTAGCTCGCAGATGTCCCCTTTGTCTCCCAAGAGTGACTCGTGAGGATGGGGGTACCCAAAACGGGCCCTGCACCTCCCCTCACTCCTCAGTGTGGCTCACTGCCCTCTGTGCTGCAAACCCCCAGCCAGCAGCAGCAGGAAGGTGTGTGTGGCAGGGCCCTGCATCTCTCTGGGGGACAAACCCGTGTCAGATCATCATAATTACCATCATAATTTTGCAAATGTGCATGAAGAGCAAGAGGGAATAGTGACTGGCAATAAGAGAAGGGAACTGAAGAGGGAACGAAAGGGGAAATAGCATCAACTCCGTAGAATGTAAGAAACTCAGCCATTACCTCTGTGCATTACAGGAGGATACAAAAATACAGTGATGGCTTTTGTTCTCTCCTTGCTACAACAACGAAAGTGAATCATTTTTTCCCTTAATGATGGAAAGTCACTTCATTTTATACAGGCCCTGCTATTCAGAAAATGCTAGGAAAGCTCTGGACTCTACTGATGTGCTATTATTTCCAATTGCAGTTTAAGATTTGTAAATGCACTTCTGCACAATTTGATCTCAGATGTACCATATTTAATACATGGAAAGAGAAGCTGTGTCTTAGTTTTTTATCTGAGAATTGTAAATTATCTCCAGGTAATATTTTGTGACTACTCTTGTTTTAATGCTTTGTGGAGACAATGAAGTCCAAACTTTTTGAATCATCTTTCGTAATTGTTAGGCTGTTGCTGAGGGCTTGGCTTGGAATGCCCTAATACAGCCTGAAATGTGAACTGCTGAGCATCTGTCTTTGACATTTCAACCTTTTAAGGTGTTTCATGCTTTTTATCCCCCCCACACCTCTAAAAGTTTTATTTCAAAGGGAATGGACAATGGATGTAGAAATCCTTCCTGAAGTGCCACTGAATTGTCACATCTACTAGACCCTTTTCTTTCTGGGTAAAAAGCTGGTGAAATATGAAAGCAAACCAAACAAAATCCCATGGACCATCAAATAGCTAGCAGAGCTTTCCAGCTGTAAACCTTCCCTATTTATATGAGCTTTACTAATGTAATATCTCGGAATATGTCTCCGAATATGAAAGTATTGATTTTTTACATGTTGTGAGACACAGAAATGTTATGATTTCTTTTTTACAGTGGGAGAGCTAAAACTCAGAAAAAACTGAGGTTATTTTGGTGCCTGTGATACTAACATAAAATTGTGACAGATACCCAGTGGCACATTTAAATTGTTTAGGTGCCTGGTACACTCAAAGAGTTGGCAAGAGCCATGACTCCTCTGAGACCTTTCCAAGCTGTTTCTCTAAGCACTGAGACCATCTTTTGTCTCGGAATTTTTTTGTCTGTAGCTTTTCTATCATTACATTTTTTCAGGCAATCCAGCGCCAGCTGGAAGAACTGGAGGAAAGACAAAGAACTTTGGAGATTTTTGGTGTCGAACTGGAGAGAGAACTAAGAGGAGAAGCAGGTACACAAAGCAGTTTGCTTGTTTAGTGGTGGGATTTTTAACCTGTTCCAAAGCAGAAGGTTTAATGGTTGTCATGGAAATAGTTTGGTGCAAAGTCTGAAAAGGAACAATAACTGGAAGGACAAAAATTATTGATAAACCTTTTTCTCAAACTCTGTTAGCTCAAGCACCTTTACATCAAATGCTTTAAATTTTCTCTTGGTTATCACAGATTTGGAATTATTGACGATGCTATTGAACATGAATTTGCATTTACCCCAACTCTGCCCCCCTCTCCTTTTTTTTTTTTTTTTTTTTTTTTTTTTAAAAATCCTGAGCTTAATTTCATCTTGTGGAGGGAACCAGTGAGGTTTCCAGGAGCTGTATCTCAGTTACCAAGCCAGCAGCAGCCCATGCCTAGTAACGGAGTCTTTAATGACTTTCCTGGAGTGTGAAATGCCATTAATATGATTAGAGCCAGTGGCCATGCTATAGCAACAGCAGCCTGCAGGCACACACACAGAGCCCAGCTTTTCCCCCAGGGGCAGGCAATGACAGGGGTGTCCCCTGGCCCCAGCTAGAAGCAAGGTTTCCCTCACCTGAGCCAACACTCCCAAGCACCCAGGGCTGTGGGATCCTGCCCCTGGCACTGCTCCCCAGCACACACGGGGTGAAGCAGAGGTTCAGGACCCCCGGGCGCTCCTGCCAGGCTCAGAATGGGGCTGGGAGTGTCAACCATGCCCATAAGGGACTTCAGAGGGGGCTGTGGGTCTGTGCTGAAGGGACTGACAGACTGAATGCAAATGTGTCTTTATTTACCTCCACTTCAGAAAAGTGACCCTCGTGTTTTCCTGATAGGCAGTTGCACAACATGGAAAACCCAGATATGTTTTGGCACCTGATCTTGTTGTTGTCTTAACCAGGCAATCCAGTCCAACCCCTCCACGCTGGCCTATTTAATGCTGTACTTCATAGCAGCTTTCACCCCTATCCTGACACTGCACTAATCAGTTCACCAAGAGGGCATTCACCCAACCTTTTGTATTTATTAACTGATTTCCTAGAATTGATCGTCTTAGTCTAGTCCAAATTTTATTTAAAAATTTATCATCTATTTTTCTTAAATGAAATCATAATCCTTTATCAAACAGCACCCCCCTTACTACCTGTGAGGAAGTCTGCTAAAAAGGCTGTTAGAATTTAGAGAGTTAGATTTTTTCTTCTGATTTGAATAAAGGTGGTTGTTTTTTGTAAATATAGAGGGATGAGAAGCTTCTAGCTCTTGGGATAGACACGGAATACCAGGATAAATGGCCTAGAGCCACTTCTTGTTGTTGCTGTTTTGACAATCGCATTTGCTAAGGAAGGCTGCCTGCCAAGAGATCGATGCTTCTCATTCTCTTACCATCCCTGGTAATTGGATTGCCCTCATTAAGGTGAAAGTACTGTTTTTTTTCTCCCTGTTGATTGTTTGTGTGTAGGTGGCCCGTTACAAATAGGGCAGATACTGAAACGTAGGATGTTACTGTCTCTCAATAACTCTTCTGGTGCAAAAGCACAAAACCATGAGCTTCCCAGACAAAATGTGAGTGCTTTGTTGCTCATAATAACATATGTGTAATGATGCAGGATTTGGCGAGTTTAATATTCTGTTCAAGCTTCCTAAAAATAATGAGCATTATTTTTTAATGAATGACCAGTGTTTATTAGGTTAAGTTGTATTTAAGCAGGTCTGCGCTTATGCAATTCAAGTGATTTAATAGGTATTATTAAGGTAATTAGAAAACGATCACAGTTCAGCAATAATATTGAGCTACAAAGGTTGTGAATAACCAGATTTAGAGGCAGGCCTGCAAACACCAGTTTTCAGTGACATTTACGCAACTCTCCTCTAATAATTCTGTAAGCCTGAGATGAATGGCCTCTTTGTTAGGGGGAGTTATTCATTAGCTCCTCAACTGAATTAGAAGAGAACATGCGTGGGTGCGAAACAACTGCCATGAAGACTGATGAGCAAAATGAGGTTTTGATGATCTCGTAATTGTAGTGACAATAATTCATGCATTAGGAAAAAAAACCACAAACTCCCAAAAAACACTCCCAAAAAATGAGAAGAAATAATATCAGTCCTATGAATAATTTTTCATGCTCGTTATTTCCTTTATTCTGCTTCAAAATACCAAATAATAAATCATTGATGTACCGTTGCTTTGTTTTCCACTGACATTTGTGAAGGCTTATGGTGAGCTTCTGCCTACAAGAAAATACAGAAATAAAAATCTCAAAACATGTTTTCCACTGAAATTAGCATAAGGTCTCAGTTGACTAAACAAGTCATGAACAATGATGGTAAAGAAGAAAACCTACATTGAGAGAACATTAGGAAATGTCTCCATGCTTTGGAAAGTGAATAAATATCTGCACATGTTGTAGCTAATTTTTGATTTCACAAAAAACACATCCGAGGTGTCTCAGAATTTTCAAAAGAGTCGAAAGAAATCAGTTGCAAGCCTGTAGAAATAAGGAATATGAGGTTTAACTGTACCTAAAAAGGTGCAAACTGGCCAGGATCCCATTACTGTGTGATGACTGTAAGAAGTGACAGTGAAGCATCAGTCTGGAGAAGAGAAGGTTCAGGTTTTGAGAAGAGTGTTCAGTAAATACTCCTTCACAGCCTATACAATTCCCTCAAAAATGATGTAAATAGAAATACCTATGATGTAATTAGAAGAATGTCTGACTTACAAATGGATCTCAGTTAGAGTAGACTCGGGTAAAGCAGGAGGAAAGGTTTGCTTTAGCAAAGCTGTAGAGAAAAGCCAACATGGCTCACAAAACAAACTCACAAACTGTTTTCCCTCTGGCCTATAAAAAAGATCTGTCAAAATGCATCATCCAAAATGCTTCTTTGGTTTGTTCTGTTCTTGGAAGGCATCAAGCACTCCATCAGACGTAAATAAGTATTAACATTGCTAGTAACAAACATTTGAAAAGCTCAGGGAAAAAATGCCAGTGGGAGCACTTAGGGGGCATTCTGTGGGATGGAGGAGGAGGCAAAACAAGGGCTACTTTTGTTTCATCTTTTTGTGGATTTTATGAAAATGAATTTTTTTTTTTTGCAAAGTGCATTATCTTTGCTTACCTCAATCAACCTACAATACACAATCTTTTATTAGAGATACAGAGTTTTTAAAGTGTAAAGGGGGAAGTTTAAAAGAAAGAATATTTCTGCCTAAGCAAGGAAACAAGGCAAACGGAACAGTAAACTTTTGTGTCTGTGCTGCACTTATGCATAACAGCAATTGCAGTGTTTTTACTGACAGTAAAATAGATCAAATTTTGATGATGCCGCCGTTTCCTATGGTGGTGTTCAAAGACCTAAGGTTCTGAATACTAATACTGCATCCCTGAATTGGATGGGTGAGAAACTGGCATGTTCCAGCAAGGAGCACTCCTGCACTCACTCTGGAAATACTCTTTATCACCACTTGCTGACCTGGAAGATCCCACAGGAACACATCCATTACTGCCAAGTTCTAATGGAATCAGGCAGGAATTGAAGAGAGATTGCTCTGCCTTCTCCCACTGTTTATCCTCCTGTTTCATGGTAATTTCCAGCTGGGGTCAAGTCCTGATGACAACTGTAGACCTGCCCCCATGCCAGCGTGACTCCTGTCCTTGGTAACTCCTCTGATGCTGGCAGGAGGTGCCCTGGGTTCCCTGGGATGGTGGTGTCTGGTGAAGGCATGCAAAGGGGCTGGTGATCCCAGACACCCAGCAATTCCCCTTGGCTTAGGCAGGTGGCTAAAGGGCTTCATTGGGTGATGCCCAAGAAGGTGGGCTTTGAGCTGCTGCTTTAGCGTGGAGTCCAAACCCTGGCTCTGAGTGAGGGGCAGCTGAAGCTGTGGAGACAAGAAGGTAACTTGTTGAAGCACATTTAAAAATGACAACAGGACGGCATCAGGAACACTGCTGAACTGCCCAGGGCTCTGGCTGTCTCTCCCCTTGGCCATCTAGTTTAATGATACTCTTGTAATTGGTGTCTCTGGAGTTTTAACTGGAGACCTTTTGAGTTCAGTTTCAGTGCTTTCAGTCATATAAAATAGAGGCGCAGTTCCTCTTAAAGTAGAAGAAATCGTGTAAGCTTCCATCTACAGAAAACATCCAGGCTGGTTTGTGGGGATTTTACTCTTGGTTATCTAGCATTGTGATGTAAAGACTGAGGAGGAGAGAGCTTGTTTCCCTGCCTGCTGGCAGTACTCCTTTTTCTTCACCCTGTATCTGGCTATCTCTGCTTCCATGTGTGGTGAGGAGTGCAGATACCATGGGCTGGGGCAGGAGCACAGGCTGGCTGTTGGCTTTATGCTTCTGAAGGTGCCAGTGTGTTGCTCGGGTTGTAGCCTCAGCCTGGAGTAGTGTAAGATATTTGTCTCCTACAAGTGATCACTGTTTCGTGGCAGCAGGCAGGAATCTGTTCTGTTCCCACAGAACAGATGTGGGAGGTGTGTTGGCAGTGCCATCAGTGTTGCTGTAATTCTGCATCGAAGGGAGGTGGAGTGGCTTTGTTTCATGAAAAAATGAATGCAAAATGTGAAGTCATGAGGATGTTAAAAAGAACAGCAAGGAAAAGAAATACATATGTGCTCTGACTCGCCGTTTGAAAACACCCAGGGGTTCTTCATTGCCAAAGAGTTTTGTGCAGATGGTATTTTAGGAGAGTAAAAGTCCTTACCCTTACCTGGTGAAAGAGATCCACCCTTTTCTTCAGCAAGACAGAGTCAAGCTGTGAGCTCTTTGGGAGAAAGGCTATTCATCAGATGTCCTGGCCCAAAGTGTTATAAAACCACCCAGTTATCATAGATTTGTCATTCAAAGCAGATGCAGGTTTAGAGGCCAGTTGACAAGTGGAGGGAAGTTTGCAGAGGATTTGGTGGTGTGTCTGATGTCCACTGGAAGCAGGGATTAAGTTGTTACTTGCCAGTGTGTGCATCCTGAAGGCTGATGGTGTTAATGGAATATCCACTTAGACACAGTTCAGCTCTGAGGCCCAGTTTCAACAAAGAAACTGTCTTATCAAAGGCAGAGCTAAGAGACAGAAATAGTGCCCAATAAAGTCAATGTGATTATTTGAAAGGAAAAACTTTAGGACAAAAGTGTTATAAAATCCAGTGCATCTTTAGCTGCAATAAGCCACAACTGTCAACCAAAACCAGATAAAAATGTCATACCTGCTGTACTCAGTCATTACTGGGGTAAGTATAGTTTTGCACACAGCAAAACCATCTCCATTTGAAGTCATGTAGGCTTACACAGGAGGACTACTGGAGGAGAACTTAGTTGGCAAAAGTATTGGAAGAAAGTTGGTGAAGCACACTGAAGTCTCCTATTTCACACAGATTCAGGCACAAAGGATGAAAATCAGATGCTATATGAATGGTTTGAGCTGGTCGTGGAGAAGAATAAATTAATGCGTTATGAGTCTAAGCTCCTGATTATGTAAGTAAGAACAAGTATAAGTATTAAAGATGGGGAGGGGAGAGGGAAAAAATGTACTCACAACTCACAATACACCTCAGTACCTTCCTGTGTGCTGTGTTTGAGACAGCTGAGGAATAAATCCAGAGTAGCTACAGCCTGTTTTGAACATAGCTTTGCAGCTGAGGCCTCCTCATCCTTCCCTCTTGCAGTGGTTCAAACATTTCAATTCTGTATTTTACTCAACCAATGTGGCATAGAGATGCTCTCCTTCACATAATGTGGGTCTAATGAGCACCTCCTCTCAGGAAGAAAAACAGTCTGACAAATTAATCACTCTTTATTTGACATAGGAAAAAAAAAGACCTAGAAATTCACTACAGCCATGAAGCAGATACACCAACAGAAGGAGCAAATAAAAGCCACCTCAGATGCCACTGTTGTGGCTGATGGAAGCAATGTTAGCTGTAACTCCCTTTCCTTGCCTCCCTGCAATCACACTCAAGATGCTGTTCTCTCCACTACTATTTTAGTAGCTATTTTAAGCTACTTTCTCCACCACTTGTGGGCAATGTGGGAAGGTGACAGCACTCCTCACTCACCCCTGGGTTTCCCACCTGTGCAGGCTGCCCACTGCCATTTATCATTTCCATATCACTCAGCCCAGCCCTGGGCTCCAGCTGCACCCCAGTTTCTCCCCAGCTGTGCTGGTGCTGCTGGGGCCAAACCTTTCTTGCCCCTCTCTTTGTCATTGCTTTCTTCTCACGCTGTCTGTGAGTTAAAAAGGCAACAGTGGGCTGCTTTTAGTACTGCAGGACACAAACTGTTGCTGTCTGGATGTGTTCATGTGTTCATTCCTTTGCCCCAGGACCTGCTCCTGTGCAGAGGGTCTGGTGAGGCCCTTCATGTGTGGGTTCAGCCTTATGCAGAATTACAATGTGGGTGCCACCAGCGAAGCACAGATGGTACAAAGCTTTAAGCAATGCTGTGTATGGGGGAGTTTAACCCCATACATAATGTAAAAGGTGGCAGTGGTACTCCTGGAGCTGCTCACACAGGTAAACCTTTTAGCTTTGGCAGACCATGAGGAGAAAATGCTGGATAAACAAAACACAGAATCTTGTAATTGAAATAATGTTGAAATATCTCTTCATTGAAAAAAGCTGCTTCTTTAACATCCTTTTTGCTGCACCCAGAGCCCGAGAGCTAGAATTGGAGGACCACCAAAGCAGGCTGGAACAAAAGCTGAGAGAGAAAATGGCCATTGATGGTAAGTCAAAGGGGACAGTGTGCCCCAGCTTACAGGGACAGGCTGTGCCAACCCTGTTTCCCCCAAAAAGAACCAGGGTGGCTGAGGCTCCTGTGCTCCCTCTGAGCACAGCTCAGCCAGCAAAACGTGAGATCTTCTCAACTGACTCCTGGTGAAGACAGCTGAACCAACCTGCCCAGTTCTACACTGAGCTAGCTGGGTTGGAAGCACTGCAGGTGTAATTACACTAATTGGCTCTCCAGGCAGCAATGTCCAGCTGATGCTGGACAGCAAAGGAAAGTAACTTCTTCAGTCACCTAAGCAGAAGTTGTCTGCTCTTATGCAGCATTGCTGGTTACCACAGTATTTGGGGACTGCTTTGAGGTACTTGGGATTACAGCTTGGGCTTGTCTTTTCATTTGGGATTTGAAAAGGAGCGTGGGGACGAGCAATGCAGGGAGAAGAGTGGTTCCATAGCACTGAGTACCCCAAAATATCCTGTTGTGTTCCAGGCATGTGGATTGCAAGTGACAGCAGTTTTCAGTACATTTGCTGAAACATGCTTTCCATTTTCTTACAGGTACTACGTTTCATGTTGAGATTTTTACTTTATAAACTCAATTTAAACTACAGCTTAATTGCTTCTATAATTTAGTAGCACTTTTCCTATCTCTTCAAGTCTAAATTTTGTACAAGAACTACTCTAGACCCTAGGAACCCTAATGGTCAACTTCAAATGGCCCAAATCTAGGAGAAAATTTCCCTGAACTGTAATTTTAACAATACTAACTGCTATTGACTACATTTGTCATTGATGATAATGTTAATTCAAGCTGTGCACTAACAGTTAAAATGCGAACAGTGATCTGGTTCTTAAGCTATTTTTTGTGACCTTTTAGACAGCCTTAAAGATGAGAAGGATCTGAACGAGGAGGCTGAAATTTTTACTGAGATGATGAAAGTGGTTGAAGAAAGGGACAGACTCGTGTGTGCCTTAGAAGAGCAGAGAGTGAAAGAAAGAGCAGAAGACCAGCACCTCGAAAGCCCTATATTATCTACAGGTTATCAGCTAAGCAGGATTTAAACAGCCACATGCAAATAAACATCCTTTCAGCAGTATTCCCTATCACGGAGACACACTCTTCTGGAAAATGAAGGAATTCAAATTTAAAATCAACTTATTTGGGAAGCACATCATTTTGTTATCAAAAGCAGGTCTTTTGCTTGTACCAGAGACAGGCATTTCACTGTCAGCTCAAAGGATCACTGGGATACAGATTTGGACTGAATGTGCCTGTCTGACAGGGTCTGTGAAAGGGAAATCAGAGCTCCATTATTCTCTCGGAATTTTATTTTAATGCTGAGAGTAGGGTTTCTGAGGAACATGATGACATCATTTAGCATTTCTGAGACAGCCTTACTTTCCATCTGTTTGTCTGAATCTCTGTGTGGCTTTGTTAATATTTTGGCACAGCCAAGCCATGGTCAACTATAGAAAAGTCAGAAAACAAGCATCTCATAAAAATAGGGTTAGTCTTTATTTCTGGTGGAGGAAGAGTCGTTTGACTAATAACTACATATAAGCACTTACTAAAACTACTGTAAATGCAATGTCAGAAATTAATCTTTCAGGTATTTATAAGTTTTATTGCACTGTGTATTTTTGAACAAGAAGTCAAAGCAATATTAAATCTCTGCATTTTGCAAAATGGTAAGGGATTATCAAAGGTGTGACTATCCTTACAGCTGTTACATGCACAAAAAACTTTCTGTATATCAGAGATTAAGGTCTTTAAGATAAAAGATAATTTAAAAATAGTAATTCAGATTCAATTGGACAATAGGGCAGACTTTACTAGGGCATACTTTACAATTTTTTCATGAAAGACATCACAAATTATATTGTTGGGTGTGATACACGGTATAGCACTTAAAGACCTCCCTGACAATCATCCCTTAAAAGTACTGCAAAAAATGTTGAGTTTTTAATATCAATATTTGATAGAAAATATTGTGAGTGTATTTAAATTAAATTTATATTGCTGCTTGAGAATTTATGCATATTTTTTGCTTAAAGGGACCATCTATACTTTTTGTACATGCATGTGTAGATATTGGCAAAAAAAGCATGCAGAAATTCTCCTAAATTAAGTAACATCTTAAATCTGGGATTATCTGCAATTTAAATTTGGTAATATTCCCAACTTGTATGTGTGATGCACTAGATTTTCAAACTGGAAAAAACAAGGGGAAACTGAAGGACTGTTTTTTGAATATCATTTTACCTCATGCTCTGAGAAGATTTGATGTTCTCATTATTTTTTGAATGGTGCTAATTTACAGCATCTGCCTGTGGTACAGCCAAAGATAGAAGCATTCCTGTTAAAAAAAAGCTTTAAATTGAAAAACCTCTTCTTGAGTACTGGTAAAGTAACAGACACACTGGATCTTCTCACAATAATTTTTGAGTTATCTTCAGGGTTGCTTTGTTTTTGGGTTTTTTGGGGGGTTTTTTTTTCCCTTCTGTATTGCAAGAAATTTTAAATACCCTTTCTAAAGGTAAAAGCAAGTTTTTGCTATTGGCCACAGATAAATATTATACCTCTGTTGGTACAAGCTTTATACTATTGCTCTGCAATATTTATTTATATCTATTTATTAGACTGTTTAGAGAAGGTAGGAACTTCTGGTTACATTTTACAGTTTGGATATTGTCTCTGATTTTGATTGAAAAATGTGTATTTCTAACAGCCATGTATAGCCAAACTGTTCACTGTAGAGTAGACAGCTTTATAGATTTGGTACATAATTAGCAATAAAATATGAATTAAGATTTTAAACAATGTTCTCAGTGACCATAACTTGAAGGGATACTCTTAAAACACAGCATTTAGGGCTTTAAAATATAATTTGTCTTCCATCACAGTGAAAAGACATGGAAGAAATCCTTAAACATGTTCCAAAATAACCACTAGACATTTTTCCCCCCTCTCATTCATAGGCTAAGCATACCTGATCTTCAGATGATGTTTTTACTAAGATGGATTGCAGTGACTGACTAAACTAACTCTATTGCTTAAGGCTGACACAAAGTAGAAGAGACAGAGCAGCAATAAATATTTTAATTTTCTCTGTTGAAATCTGCTGGTATTTCCACTTTTGCGGAGAAAATTTCTGGGTTTTATCACTGTCCCCAGTCCTGCCTCATGCAGTCCTGTAGAAAAAGACAGTCTAGGCAATGTCATAGTTTTCTGTGAAAGTCATGATTTCACAGTATTTTTAAAAGTTTCAAAGCAAAATTCTTAGAGCTTTACACAGGAGGAGAATTCTGCAAGAATCTCCAATTATATCAAAGATTGGTTTTTTTTCACCTCACTATTACAACTAAGAAGTCCATTCATATTAGTGTTGCTGCAAAAAAGCCCTGAGATTTCATTTTTACAGCAGATACCTGTTCAGCTATAAAACCAAACTTCAAAGGGTGCCTTCCCTTGAGCTTCAAAGATTTGCATTCCTGAGAGTATCAGAGTCTACAGAAGCTGAAGGCCATCAGAACTTTATGGATATCAAAGCCATATATATATATGTATACATAAAATATTCTTTGCTAGAGGAAGACTTTTCTTCATGCCCTGTGGTTGTTACACATGTTCCAGCCAAAGCTGTCTGCTCTTGGGTGGAAAAACCTGTCAGGCTACTGCTGTCCTGCCTGATATTCAGTACCTCACATGATTAGATCCAAAAATAAACCGTGCAAGTGATTTAGAAAAATCATTAAAAAAAAAAAAAAAAAAAAAAAGTCATTTAAAGCAGGTCTTTGTGTAGAGTAGAGAAGGGGGTTAAAAAAAGGAGAAGCTATGTGCACTTTTCCCAGGTCAATTTCATATGGTTGGCTTCTACTAGAAATGTATTTAAACACTGGTTTGGTTATCAGTTTTCTTGCTGCTCAGTCTTTTCTGTAACTTGGCTTACTAATTTATAATAGATTTATTCATTTGTAAGTTCATGGCACTGTTATTTTGGGGTATAATGTGATGTGCTGGAATGTACTGAGTGTGTCTAAATGGGCTGGTTGTGAGAAATTATCTATTTGAAAGAATAAAATTCTGTCTCGCTCATGAAGTCCCCACATCATTTCCATAGAAATTTCTTTCCACTGACAACTACAGCGCAATAATGTGTGATGAGGACAGATCCTTAGCTGAGAAATTAAATTCTGAACTCAGGCACTGGTAAGTAAATCACAGCATCTTGCAGTGCACAGATTCCTTTTGTAGTTCAGCAATAATGACACTGGGAGGTTAGGGGGCATCTCTAACAGAAGAGATTACAAACCCCAGGAGACCAACAGCTTCCCCACATGCTCACACAGGGATTCACCAGCTGGTTCTCTTGGGCTTGACACACAAATTATAATAGCTCCTTGAAGATGCAGAGGAAAATTGTCGATAAAATGGTGATCAAAACCTTAATTGCCAATTAATTGTTGATTTTCAAATACCACTAACTTTACCTCTATCAGGTCATGTTATTTTATTGCTTTCTGGCAGTGGGGAGTCTTACTGAGCAAGACAATGTGCTGCCCAGAGGAGAGAAGAGGATAAGCAAGACTGGGGCCAGCACAACTGTCCCCAATGCTCAGTCACTCTGGACTGACTGATATGTCTCTCCTCCTCACAGGACAGACGGACAACTGCTTCTCTTCGGAGGTCAATGTCATTTCTGGCATCTTTGAGCTGTGATTTTCCTTTCACTGTCATGTCCTTTCCTTTCCATCTTGTGGACTTTTCTGTCCCAGGAGCAGAATAGAAGTGCCACCACAGGAATTTACTGAGGCTCTTCTAATCCCAGTGCCTGCACACATCCTCCTGTGCCCTCTTCGAAAGACCACAGGACTAAAGAAACTCATTTGGTGCTTAGGGATGTGGTTCAGTGTGGATTTGGCAGTAATGGGTTAATGGCTGGACTTGATCTTAAAGGTCTGTTCAAACTTAAACAATTCTATGATTTTATAAAAAGCTTGGGGAAACAATTTTGTGAATCACCATTTCAATCAAGACCAATCGATTTGCCTCCAAGGTAAAGGGACACCTCACTGATTTTCAGTGTGTTTGACCATAGGAAACAAGTTTAGAGATCTTGTGCTTTGAAACTTCTGCTTTGTAGCCCAATGCACGTCTGATCTCAACTAAGATTTTCACATTAGTTTAGAAGTCATTTCCAGAAAGATAGACTGTTTTCTTCCTTGCTTGAGCAAGGAACAGGATGTGGCACAGCAGATTGGAGACTTTGCTGCTGTTAAGATCTAGAGCTGTCCCTGCTGGGCTTTGCATGGACTGCAATTTTTGGCATTGTTTAGCACAATGGGTTTGCTGTGGTTGCAAATCCTGTTCTTTCAGTCATCTCAGGAGCTTGATTCCTGCCAAATACTTAATGATGGGCAAGGTATTTGCTGGACTTCACCCAGATCTCTTTGCCCGATATTTATGAGAAAAATTGTGGTTTCTTCTGTTGTTTCTAATGAACTGTGAAGAGACCTGATGGCTCTGCATGCTGGTATTGTGCTTGCTGGAATATTCACATAACACACCTGTACATAACTACAGGCCCAAACGAAGGGTACAACTGAAGCTTATTAAGAAAAAAAAAATCATAATACTGATTTTTTTCCTAAAACTGTCTCAAGAAGGACAGTTGTAAATGCAAGTATGCTTGGCCCAGTTTTTGTAAGTAATTAATTGATGTAACCTCATGGTACCAAAACATGTGAATACCAGGATGACATTGCCATTTTACCAAAAAGTTTTAAACCCACTTTCTTTCCTCTGAAGCTTTCAAATCATTTATTTCTGTAGCTGTATACAACATGTTATCTTTAATCTTTCATGTACATTTTTCTTTATCACATCTTAGTCTATCTGTTTTGCTCCCTGATGTACAACAAAACTTCATTGTATGTTTTAAGAATCTATTTGGAAATACTCTATTACTTTTAGAAAACCATCTTATTTTGTTATATTATTTAAACAGAATATTCTTTTACCAAAGAAGTTAGAGTAGAAATCATAGCTGTGCTTTAAATTC